CCTCAGCTCTTAAGAGAGAGCTTCCCAAACCTACAGGCCTCTTCCTCGGCCACCTGTGCCCAGTGCTCCTTGGACCCGGGCCCTGCGAAGAATGGGACCCCAGCCTCCGACTCCTGTTTTCCTCTCCTGCTGCCCTCTCTCCATTGTGCTCCGTGTTTCAGGCTCTTTTGCATTTCTACCTATTTGTGTCCCCTTCTGCTTCTTTATCCTCCCCTCCCTTCACCTCCAGGCATCACACGGTAGACGGGCAGCCTGGGGTATTGGACAAGGAGCACTCTAGGAGTGGGGAGACCATTGTCAGAGTGGCCCCCGCTCCCCACGGTGTTGGACGGCGTTTATCACTGTGCTCCTCTGGGTGGCCCCCAACACCCTGGGAGTTGGTGTCAGGGGTGGTGAGTGCCCACTTCCAGGGGAGGATAAGGAAGCCCCCAGAGCAAGTTCAAGGCTGATCCAGAACCCTTGGCATGTCAGTCCTGGGCTGTTTCCATGGCTCCAGGCGTTGATGTATTTTGTTCTAGTTGCCCCAGGATGGTAACGCCCTGTGAGATCAGAGATTAGGGGTGATGATGATGTCACATCCCTCCACCCAGGATAGTCTCCTAGAAGTTTGGATGCTTCATTTTCTGCCTCCTGACCCACTCCTAGCACACCCTCCTGCCCCATGGGAAAACCCCCTCCCCCCAAGGAGGAGGAGGAAGAGAAGGAGGCTCCTGGAGGTTCCCAGGAACTCAGCAACAGAGGAGGTGGGGTTCGGCCTATGCTCCCGGCCTAGGTGTATCACCTCCTGCCAAGGTGTGTGCTCACTCGCCCACAGAAGGCCGGCCCAGGAGCCAGGCAGGCCAGGAATGGTGACGTTGCTATCAGGAAGTGACCCAGGAACCCGGCCAGGCTACACCCTCTTCATGTCCTCCCCGGGCTCTAAATATAGACCACAAAGGACAGACGGGGACATCCACCTGCCCAGAGAGAGGTGAAAGGTCTTCCACCTACACCTGACCTGAGTCTGGGTAGCCGGCTGCTATTGCTCACCAGGCCATCAGCGCCCTCTGTGGCCCTGGCCAAGCCCAGGTTGAAGGAGGTGATGGGCCAGGCCTGTGGCTGCCTGGACATTGTCTTGAGCCCAGTTCTGGCTCTGAGACCTTCCCAGCAATGCAGCTGGGTCCAAACCCCATTCCCTAGGACCCTATGCAAAGGCAGAGCTGGGTCTTGATTTGAACGATGGCTGAAGCAGCACTTACGAATCCTGAATCACCCCTCATATGCTGGGCAAGGGGTGGGTGGCAGGTTGGAAGCTCAGGCCAGGTAGAAGATGGGATGGCACGAGGTACCTGGCTGGGTGTGGTGAGAGAGGACCCCGAGATGCAAGCCGGGGTCATACTGAGCAGTTGGCCTTTTGCCCTGAGGGTAGAGGGTAGTGGCACCTTTGAAGGGTCAAGACCCCTCAGGCTGCCATGGTCCGGGGGACCAATGGGTTGGAAGCAGGAAGGAGAAGGGGCCCCCAGAGGTCTGGCCACAGTACCCCCTCCCTTTAACTGGAGGTGGCTGCTCAGGGGCCCTCCAAGTCAGGGAGTGATGGAAGGCCTGGTGGGGTCCATGGCAAGCCCACAAGCACAAGCCCTGCCCAAAGGAGACAGCTGCCGGTCAGCTCCCACCCAGCCTCCTGTTACTCGGGAACACAGACCCCATGTGGCCGGATTGTCTGAAGTTATGGGAGAAGCCACAAATGTGGATTTTTATATGAAATCACCTGACCTTTTACTGTTGGCTCAAAAATTTAAAAATACTTTGCAAGCCAAACAAAACACACGTGTGGGTTGGATGTGGCCTGCTTCCAGCCCCCGGCTGTCAGTTCTGAGCCTGTCTTGTAAGCTTCCTCTACAGGCAGCATCCTGGCTACAAAACGGTCTTACAGCACAGCACTGTAATGGCTCACAAGAAGCCCTGCGGAAGGGCAGGTGCACTCCCCAGGGAAAGGTTAGGGACCTGGAAGTGCTGGGGGGGGTGGGGCGAGGTGTGAGCAAGATGAGGGATGAAAGGAGGGTTCCCAGTCCTAATAACCCATGCTTTCTACAGTGCTTTATGCTGTTTCTCCCAGCAGACCCTCCCAGGGCAGGGGTTATAACCTTGGCCTTCACTCACCCAAGGTCGCTAAGCTGCCTCCAGCCCCCCACATGAGCCCTGTGGCTCGGTTTTGGGACAGCCCACTGCCATGGCCTCCAAAGTGAAGCCCCCGGCCTCTTTTGTTGTAAGGAGGCTAGGAGTACCCTGCACATGGGGCAGGTCAGATACATGGAAAAGTGGGGCAGCTGGCAGGCAACCCCTGCCATGACCTGGGGTCCGGAGATCGTTGCTGCTGGGAGCCTCAGGGACATTGACAATGAGGCTCAAACTCTGTCCTCTTCCTTTATTGCATTTATTTTCCCCTGAAACATATTTGTGGAAGAAACCGGGTAGTTTGTCCCATAGATATTCCTACAGTCTGGAGTTTATGGACTGTATCCTCATGGTGTGTTTAGCACACTCCTCCATTCCCCCGTAATTTCCCCAAATCACTGTTATGTGCAAGAAGCCTGGTTGGGTTCATGGTTAGTTTTTGGCCGGAACACTTTGTGGGTGATTTTGTTCGTCTATCAGGTGGCACCTACTACCCTGGTCCCCTCTTTAAGGCTGCCCTTGCCCTTGGTAAGGGATCTGCCCTGCAACTTTGGGGCAGGATTATGAAGGCTGATGTGTGGCAGCTCAGGGGAGAGTCGTGGGTGCCAGAGGTGCCCCATGAACCGCCGCAGCCCCATCACAGACGGTATGGGGCAGAGTCTCTGCCCTGCCCAATGTGGGGGCACCAGGCACCTGTGTGAGGTACTTCACCTGCGCTGTCGCATTAATTATGCTCCCTTTGCACAGGAGAAAGCCTCCCTGGAGGAGAGGTAATTTGCCTGTGGGAGAAGGGGGTCACCCAGTAAGGAACGGGTGGAGCTGGACTTCAAACCCAGGCATCTCGGTGGCCAAGCCTGTCCTCTGCTACACCAACGCTCTAAGGGAACTAAGGTGTGTGGTGGGTGGGTGTGTGTGCAGCTGGAGCCATGAGCAGATTTGCCGGGACCCCAGAGGGGAGCCCCAAAGTCGGTGCAACACAGCAGAAGGACCAGTTGAGTAAAGCCTCCACCATCCTGTCCCCTCCCCACAGATGATGATGTGCAGGTAGTGCCAAGATGGGAGGCAGCCCAGCCAGCTGTGCTGGGGGGCAGGGAGGGGGGCATAGCTGGAATTCTCCACTTCTCACCTGTCCAGCCTACCTGGGCCCCTCAACCCCAGCACCTGGACCTTCAATTTTGAAGAGGTGGGGACATCAGGTGCATTTCTCCGGCCCTCATGAGTCACTTGGCCTGCATGGGCCCCTTTCCATGCTGTAAAATGGGCTTGAGCTTGCTTCCCAGGCCCCTCCCTGGGAGAAAGAGATAAAGAGAGCAGAGCAAAGAGATAAGTGCCGGCAGGCAGGTGCTGGATTCACTCCGAATTCCCCAGAGGTGCTGAGTGTTTGGCCCCAGGAGAAGGAGTGGGAAGAGGAGCTTCTAGCCAGAGGGCAGTGGCCAGTGGCCAGGTCACCCTTTGGTTGCTCTTTGAGATTCTCCTTCTTCTAACTGTGCCTCCCCACCTCACCCTCCCTCAGGGTAGAGCCCAGAAACTTCCCAAACAGCCTCCTAGGGATCTTCACCCCAAACTAAATCTCTTCATCTTGCTTTAAAAAAGAAAAGCAAACCGTATTTATTACATGTGCGTGATTATTAAAATATTGCAGAAAAAATTAGAAAACTCGGAAGAGGAAAAAAATGTGTAATACTATTCAGAAATAACCACCATCCCTTTGGCAAAGTAGCCTCCTCTGGTTGAATGCATGTGTGCAACGTCTGCTCTGAAAGAATATTCGACAGCCTGGCTTTCTTCTCAGAGCAGAGCATGCCCTGCACCGTCCGTGGTTCTCCTGAGAAACTGAGGCCCCATGGTGAGATACTGGTTCTGGGGGTGTTGGTAGTGTTGTTAGGGCTGCTAACAGCAATGGCGGGGCTCTATGAGGGCTAAGGCAGCCAGGCCCCAGCAGTGGGCTAGGTGTGCAGGACCCTCCCGTTCATTTGTGCCTCAATAAGTAAGCTCTCGACCCGCTGTTAACCTCCAGCCTCCCTCTACCTCACAGACTTCTAGAGAGAGCATTTGAGGCTCCCTCGCCCTGTAGCCTGGCTCCCCACCTGACTGCTGCCCTGAGATCTTGAGCCCTCAAGCCACCAGTGGCTGCAGCTGACCAGCCCAGTGATGGGTGCTCAGACAGGCAGTTGTCCCTCGTGAGCCCTTTCTTGAGTGTCCCTACGGCCTGAACCCCGGTGCCCACTCTTGTGTTGGACCCCCACCCCCTCCACCTCCTTTCTGCTCTGCGTCCTCACTGCAGAGCTGTGGGGCTGAAGGGTAACAGTGCAGACAAAGCCAGGGTGGGGCTTCTCCCGCACACCACGCACACACAAGGACACTGAGGGCTTGCACAGGCACAGGCACAGGCGCACGGAAACGGGGCTCAGGTTAAGCAGTCTAGGAGGCCACAGCGCTGGACTTAACTGGAATTCGTGGGAGGTAGTTCTGACACCAGGGCGGCTCGACCACGTGTCAGCACCCACGCAACGCGGACGCTGCACCCACGCAGGGTGCCCAGCCGGCCCCCGCGGCCCCGCAGCAAGCACGCAGAGCACGTGCACTCCCGGGCTCCGCCGGCCGGCCCCGGGGGCGCGCGCGCGCGCATGGACACACGCCCCGGGCATCCGCGGCCCCGCCCCGCCCGAGGCCCCGCCCCCGCGCCGCTGGCCCCGCCCCGAGGCCCCGCCCCCGGCCTGACCTCCGCGGGGCCGGGCCGCGGGCGCAGAGCTCGGGGAGCGCCGAGCCGCGCGGGCCGCCGCCGCCCCCGCCGCGCGCCGGGCCGGCCCCGCGCCCGCGCCGCCCCGGGTCCCGCGGCCCGGCCGGCCCCCCGCGCGCCCGCGAGCCGCCGATGGTGCAGCGCATGTGGGCCGAGGCGGCCGGGCCTGCGGGCGCCGCCGAGCCGCTGTTTCCGGGCTCCCGGCGGAGCCGCAGCGTGTGGGACGCCGTGCGCCTGGAGGTGGGCGGCCCCGACAGCTGCCCCGTGGTGCTGCACAGCTTCACGCAGCTCGACCCCGACCTGCCGCGCCTGGAGGTGGGTGACGGGCCGCGGAGGGGAGTCGCGCGCCTCGCCGAGCCCGGGGGCCGCGTGGGGGGGCCGCCGCACGAACCTCGCGCCCGCTGCCCCGTCTGTCCCGCGGCCCGGCCCCGCGATCCCGGGTGGGCCGGCTCCGCGCGCCTACAGCCCAGGCAGACCCGTTCCCGCGGGCTGTCACTGCAGGCGTCTGCGAACTTGTGACAGCCGGGCCGGGCCGCAGTTCCCCGCTGCCCGCCCGGGGCCTGCACCAGGCGTCAGGCTTCACGGGGCTTCACGGGGCGGGCGGCGAGCCCCTGGTGAGCGGGGCAGACGCCTCCTGGGCAGCTGAGGCCACAGGGGCCTCCCAGACAGTACCTCCGGGGGGCAGGCGTGGATCCGGTACTGGGGCTGCCTGCAGAAGGGCGGTGGAGGGCAGACAGGTATCCAACCTGTGCGGCGAGGTGTCCCCGCAGGAGATCGGGAGAAGGGCCTCCCCGGCCCACCAGTGACTCATCTCTGCTTCATTAGAAAATATGCCGACACCCTGAATTCACCTGAATTCATTGGAAGGCTTCAGAAAAAGGGTGTGCCTGTCAGGAATAGGGGTGGGGACAATGAGGTGAGGGCTGGGGCTCTCGTTTCTGGTGTGCTCTGGCAGAGGGGCCCAGTGGGTCACGGGGTCACAGGGGGTTGGGGGGGTGCCTTCCCCCCGCCCACCTGACTGTGCACCTGACTTCAGCAGAGGTGATGGAATCCCTGGGTGGGCCCCCTCGCCGCGTCCTGCCTGGGCATGGGACCTGGACAGATGCCTTCTCTGGGTCCAGGGCCCCAGGGCACATCTAGGCCAAGCCAGAACCTTAAGGTGAAGTTTGAGCCACCTGCGGGTTAGGCCCCCCCCATGCCCCCTCCTTTCCATCACTTTAGGTCACAGCAGCCTTGTATTGCTCAAGAGTTCCAGCCTGGATCTCCGGCCCCTGTGTGTCCCCACTGCCTAGACAGGGCCTAGATGCGCATTTGCCAAAGCCTATCTCCATGCCCTGCATGGGAGTGAGGGGGGGTGGGGTGGAGATGAGGGGTGGGGGTAGCTCTTGGTGGGGGAACTGTGGGCCTGGGAGGGAAACTCCTCCTGAGCTTGGCTGGCAGTGGGGCCAGGCAAGCTCTCCAACCCTCATCCACCCACAGCTCCAGTCTTTGGCGGCTGGAGCGACCCCCAGGGAGGATGGGGGTGGGAGGCCTGACACCAGCCCAGTACTCATCTGACTTTCATTATGTCTGGCAGCGGCTTGGGCTTTGTGTGCTGGGAGGGTCTGGCCTGCCTGCTCACAGGGGCCAGGCAGGTTCCTGGCCTGGGTGGGGCAGGCCTTTGCTTCGTCTCTTCCTCCCTCTCAGTCCATCTGCATCCCAGAGGAAAGGAGCCCTACCCCAGCCCTGGGGTCTGCCTTCCCTGCACCTCCCCCTCCCCTCCACCCCTCCCCCTTCCCAGCTCCCTCCCTCTCCAGGCCTCAGCACTGAGATCCAGGCCACAGCGCTGCTGTTTAGAAATCAAAGGGAAGCTTCTGGCTGGGGGCAGGAAAACCAGGGTCCTGGCAGGAGAGGAGGCCACTGCCGGAAACCAAACACAATGACCATTTACCATGGGCTGAAGGGAGGGGGGCTGGGGAAGTCCCTGTCCCTCCTGCCAACACCCCACCCCCCCATCCTGGAGCTGATTTCCTGGTCTATGTAGCATGCCAGAGCTCAAGCGGCCCAGCTCGTGGTCCTTGTCCTGTCTGGAAACCACCAGACAGTTTCTGGCTGCCCCTCGCCCCCGTGCCCATTTCCCCACCACGCCTCCACCCAGTCCTTCCCTCTCTGAGCTGCCAGATGTCCTTGCACATCTGGGCGTCCGCTCATTACCTTGATCCAAGTCACCACAGACCCAGCTTGGCCTGAGGGGTTCTGTGCTTTTCTGGAATTCACCTAGCCTGTACCCTTGTCTCTGAGCAGCCCACTGCCTTGGCCAGGCTGGAGGAGGTCCCTGTTGGGAGCATCTCCTGGTTACAGGCACCGCCCCTCACTCCAGCTGGCTTTGACCCTCCCTGGAGAGTAGTTGTCAATCCGCACTTTACAGTAGACGGGAGGTCAGAGAAGTGAAGTCTCTGATCTTAATGTACGCAGAGCTAAGGTGCCCCCAGGATTTGAATGTGGGCTGTTCTTTATTGGTGCCTACTGTATGCAAAAGCCCACTGCAGGGATCAGAGAAGGATAAGGAAGTGCGTACTGTCAAGGCAGTTTTAAATGCATGGAGGAGGACAGGAGAACAGAACCAGGCCTGGGCAGCCCAGAAGCCCCCGGTCAAGTGAAGGGTAGGAAGGCCAAAGTCCTCAGGGTCAGAGGACACTGGAGAGAGCTTCTAGGAAGGAGCAAGCCCACCCCTGGACCGCAGAGGTTTAGAAACATAGCAGACGTGAGCCAGTGCTTTGTGGGAGGCCCTGTACTGAGTAATTTGCGTGCAGTCTTGTCTCTTTGCTGGCGGGACTACAGATTGCCCATTTCACAGATGAATCCCCTGAGGCTAGATTGCACAAACTCACCCAGCTAGTAAGTGGCAGAGACAGGACTCAGACCCCCCCAGACCTCCCCACCGTGTGAGACCTCAAGGCCTGATCACAGTCTGGATGGAATGGAATGAGGGCTCCTCTGTTCTTTGGGTAGAAATGAATGGGAGAGTCCCATCGTGTGCCCCTCCCCACCCCGCCTCCTTCTTGGTCACCTGGTGTCTCCACACTTTGTATAGCTCTTCAGTTTAACCTTCAGGGCTCATTTGCCTTTGACACTGGAGGCCCTGGAGGCATAGCCTTGTGAGGGGTCTTTATCTATCTGCATACTGTAATCCGTGAGGAGGCCACTGCAGGCCTCAGGGCCTGTGGAGTTCTGGGGGCAGCTGACTACCACCTGCTGGGCTCCCACAGACCCTGGGGGTCCCCTCTTGCTTTACTCCCCTGGGGTACTGGGAGAAGAGGAAGGGGAGGCAGGCTGGCTCGTACTGGGCCCTCCTTCCTTCTCTAGGTAGGAGACATTTAAGCATGCCAGCTGTCTCCCAGGAGCAGCAGGGGTGGTAGGACACAGGCTTGGGTGCCTGCTCCCAGGCAGGGCTCAGTTCCATCCTCAACCTGGAAGCTGGGCCTGTGTTTCCAGGCCCTGTCTTCACTGCCGGGAGAAGGAGTTGGACTAATTACGCATGGGCCCTGGGCAGCCTCTGACAAGCCAGTGGGGGTGCTCTCAGGACACCGTGCCCAGGAGTCAGGACTGGCTCCCAAGGGCTGGTAGCCAGCCGCCCAGATGGCTTCTAGGGCATGACACCGTGTGGTGGCCACTCTGTCCTGGGCTCAGGCTTCTAGCCTCCGGGGCTCAGAGACACAGTGTTCCTGGACACGCAGCCCTAGTGAAGCGACTCTGGTGGCCTGCAGCTGGGAGGGAGCACATGACAGCTAGAGGATTGCTTGGTGAGCAGGGCAGGGGCACACAGCTCAAGGGCCTGCATTTGGGGAGCTCTCGGGTGTGGGTGTTGCCTCTGCACTCCAGGGACCATCAGATGCTCAGACGGCACTGTGCATTCGGAACCATGGGGTGGGGTTGTGCACACTGGTTGGGCCAAGATCTAGGGCTCTGAGGGCAGAGAGCTGCAGGGATATGCCAGCTTGGCCCCTTGCAGCATTAGACACCTTTCTCCCACTCCCGAGCCTCAGTTTCCTCATCTGTAAAATGGGCCTGATACCAGTTCTTCCCCAGGGTTCAGGTGAGGCCTGAGTGAGAGCAGCAGCCTGACAGGCAGTCCCCATAGTGTCTGGCACAGTGTCAGAGCCAGGCAGGTGGCGGCTGTCATGATTGTGTTGTCTCACCAGGTACCAGGGCAGTGCCCATGTCCTGGGCTTTGGGGTTTTGCTGCCCTGCTGCCCCACACCATTGGCGTGGTGCTTCCCAGGCCTGGGTCCTATGGCTGACCTCTAGGCCCACAGGAAGAACCCCAGCAAACCACCCACCATGCCCAACCAGGGGTGTCACCTGAGGAAGGCCTTCTCAGCCCTGGACTCTGCTCTGAGGTCGTGAATGTGGCAGCCACAGAAGAGCAAGACAGCAGGCAGGCCTAGACGGGAGATTCATAGGTGGGAGATTCATAGGCCGTGGTTAAAATCCCTGCCTTGGCTGCCACTCCCTGGCTCCTGACCTGAGTGAGCTCCCCACCCAGCTCTTCCCTCACCCATCAAGTCAGGTGTTGGAGGATTAAATGTGATAAGTGTGTAAAAAGCCTGGTACCCAGGAAGTGCCCATAGACATGGGACACTGTGGTTGGTGGTAGACGCTTGTGGTTGTGGCTCTTGGGGCTGGACCTTCACCTGGCCCTGCCCGGCACCCCCTTGGGACTGGACCACCCTCCTCAGCTGTCACCAGCTACACTCCTTCAAAGGCTTGATCTGTGGTGGCCTGACAGCCAGGAGCCCACCCTGGATGGACAAGGGAACAGGTGGTGGGCAGGGCCAGCGTGGAGGTCCCATCACACCTCCCCACCTGAGAAATCCATCCTTCTTCCTCTTAACATGGTAATGAGTAACTGGGCTCCGGCTGGTGGCTAGGGTTTGTGGGGACAGCTTCTTTGGGGGCTCACCAAGGCTGGTCCCTAAACTCTAGTTTCTGGGGTCACCAAGCTCCCTGGTTGCCCTGGCAACCAGGAACCTGCAGGTCCCCAGCCACGGCTGCCCCTGTGGGCTGCAATGTGCGGGGGTCCTGAGTACAGCCCACCTCCATCTGGGGCTGACCTGGGGTCCCCACTGGGTCCCGTCTGTGTCCACAGGCCACAGGGCTTTTTCTTCTCTTCTACTTGTTTGGAGCTTATGGGCTGAGAGATGAACCAGAACTTAGACTTGAAAAATCCTGAATTCTCTCCTCGGCCCAGACCCTCTGCCTTGCTCTCTCCACTCTGCACCCACGTGCAGGATGCCACATTTAAACTGTCCCCAGAGCCCGGGAGGGCTGATCAGGCCTTCTAATCCATCTCCCTTTGTGGCTCCTGCATTTGAGCAAAACGCCAGAAAGTCTGAAAGCTGCAAGGCTGGCTCGGGCAGTTTTAGAACTCCCACCCTTTCTGTACGGACTGGCCTTCCTGGAATCTCCCACAGGGGCCCTCAGGGGCCCCCACTCCCCACCCCACCAGGTGTCCACCAGCAGCTCCTGGGGGCTCTGGTCAGCAGACGGTGCCCAACACCTTTTGTTCTGGCTTCCTGGGTGCCCTCATGTGCTAGGTGCTGAGCTTGGCGTTCTGTGTGCCTTCTCTGGACCCCCACTGTTGGCCTGTAGAGAGCTGCTGCTCTTCCCATCTCACAGGTGAGCTCCCTGAGGCCAGGAGCAGAGAGGCTGGCAAAGCTGGAAGTCAGAGCTCTTCATGAGAGACACAGTCCTGGGGTCTGGTAGGTCCTGGGGGGCCTCATGTGCCCAGGGCTGCAGGGTGCTGACCAGTATCCAGGGGAGGGCCTGGGGTGGCCTCTGGACCGTGGCTCAGCAGGATACAGTAAGGACCCCATCTCATGCATGTGGAAGCCCTATGATCGGAGCCACCCCCGCCCTGCCCAAGTGGAAGCGGGTCTCCACATGTGGCCCGAAGAGGAGACAGGAGGACATGCTGGTACAAGATCCAGCGCTTCCTCTCCGTGTGCCTTGGCCCTGGACCAGGTCTCCTTAGGAGGAGCCAGTCCGCAGGGGAGGCACCTGTGGGTCCAGAGGCCCCTTATGGCCCCTCATTATAGGCACCCAAGGAGAGCAAAGGGGTGATCAGTGTGAAGGTGCCATCTCCATGTGCACAAGCACGAGCCACCTTCCGGGAGAGATGGCAGGCCTGGGGAAAAGCCAGCAGGTCCCCTCAGATTTATCCCAAAATAGGAGGTGGGATGGGCCCTGGCAACCCCATTATTCTCCATCGAGGGAACAGGGCCTGGCCTGCAGTCATCTGGGGACAGGCATCCTGCTGGCCTGTCACCCTGAGAAGGCTGATCAGGTGACACTGGGGCTGCTTCTCCTCCTTGTCCCTGGGGCTCTGGGCTGCACTCAGAGGGACAGCAGAATATGGGGCACCTAGGTGCCCATTTTGCTGGCTTCTGCTTACCAGGGCCTGGGGACACCGCTCTACCCTCACTCCCCTTGACCCAAGCTGTGGAAGGCCAGGCTGCGTGTGAGGCACAGCTGCCAGCTGGGTGCCAGGGCCCTGGGGACCTGGCATCCCTGTGGCATTCTATTCCCCTAGAAGCCTGCAGGGGCCTTCCCTCAGGACATCTGCTGTTTGGTAGGCCACTCCCATGGTCCCCCAGGAGCCCCAGGCCCTGCTGCTGGGCCTGGGTGCACTCTGCCCAGAGGGTGGCCTGGAGGGTCCTGAGGGGCAGATGCCAGGCCGATGGCTGCTTCCCTGCTCTGTCCCTGGGTGGAGGTAGGAGCAGGAAACAAATGCCCAACTCTGCCACTTGCTGCCCGGGCCGGGAGCAGTTTGCTTTAGAGCCTGCTCCTGTGTCATCTCTCAGGAGGTGGTTTAAATGCCGCCCGCCCGCAGCGTTGCTCTGAGGCTCTGCTTTTGTTCCTCTGGCAGCAGCGGTGTGAAGGAGCCAGAGTAGCTCCCCATCTGTGTGACAGGGCAGTGAGTCCCGGGTCCCAGCCAGTGTGGCTCCTGGCATCCTGCCCCGCCTCCCACCCCCTTCCAAGGCCAGCAGAAGGGGGCCCCTGGGAGGTGGGGGAGGGGCTCAAGGACCATGTGATGCGCAGGCCAGCTGCTCTGCCAGTGAGGCCCATGGCTCACTGCAGGCCCCACCCCCACCCCTACCCCCCCCATCTGGATCTGCCAGGGCACAGCAGCCACCTGCCAGCAGCCCCCACCATGGCTGGCCTGGCCCAGGGGCCTTGATGGAGCCCCACTAAGGAGCCAGGTGCCATGTAGAGGTCAAGTCCAGGGCCCTCTGGCAGGGCCGGTCCTGCGTGGGGAAGCCTCCAGACCCCTGCCAGCAACCTGGGTGTTCCTCCCAGCTGGGCCACATATGGCTAAGAAAACCCTGGAGAAAGGGCAGGCCCTTCCAGCCGAGCCTCTCAGCCTCTGCAGGAAGTGGCCACGGACCCCTGAGGACATGCCAGGGTGCTGGGGCCCCCGCCCAGCAGGAGGACAGCTGGTCTCTGAGGCCTGTCTCCTCTGTGGGCTCTTCCAGATGGAGGAGGGAACAGGAGCATACGTCTCAGCTTTTCTGCTTCAGGAGGGGTTTCCTCTCCTCGCTGGAGGGGTTGGACCTCCACAAGCCTGGGTTATTTAAGGGGTGTGGGTGTGGGTGGTGCCGCTCAGGGGGACCTCTGCCTGTGGGTTCCCTGCTAACTTCCCAGAAACAGGCTGGCTCTCCTTTTCCGGAGAGAATGTGATGGCAGCGGCTTCCCCGTTGGTCCAGTGCCCAGTGTGGGAGGGCAGCCACAGGTCAAAGGAAGTGGCCCTGCAGAGGGCAGCTGGCCTCACGCGGCCCACACGGGTGGGCAGGAGGTGAGAGGCCCAGGCACCCCTTGCTGGCCGCAGGGATGCAGTAGGGGCCCCACTAAGGCCCAGGGCTCCAGGGAAGGATGTGGGTGGGCTGAGTCAGCACTTTTTCCCCAGTCTTCTGTAAGCTCCACGCCTGCCTTGGGTTAGGGCAGTGAGCCGCGGTCCCAACCACTGGTACAGACCCTGCAGTCGATGGCCCTGTGCCAGCTGGCACCTCCCAGCTCTTTCCTAAACTCAGAGGCCCCTCTCCCCACGGCAGGCTCACCCTTCTTGGGACAGAGACCTATGGGCAAGGGGGCTGCAGAGCCCAGGGCCACATGGCTCAGTGGCCTCAGCCAGCCAGGGCCTGATGGTCACAGCCCCCGGGCCAGCCTGCCCAGCGGGAGGAGTCACTGCCTCATAAAACAAGGGCCTTTCCTTGCTGCTATGGGCCCAGGGAGCAGCCAGATGATCCCCCCTTCCTGTCCCAGCCAAAGCCCCGTGATTTCGGGTCCTGTGAAACCCCAGTCATCTGCCCAGATGCCTGCATTGTCACTTTATCACCCTGTCCCCGTGCACGTGATGACACACAGGGAACCGGGAACTCCTCTGTTGCCCAAGAAGGCACAAGGGCATGAATGAGCAGAAAGGGAAGGAAGTGGCCTCGGATGTGGCTGTTGGGGATACCCAGCATCTGCTCCAGACCCATGATGCTGACTCCAGGGCTGCGCCGGGAGGAGCTGCCCCCACCTGTGGGTCAGCTGGGGTGGGGGCGGGATGGGCCAAGGAGGGAAGAGGAGGGCCACGCGGGGGGCGCCATGTCAGGGCCTGGGGTCCTGGCTTTGCCGTTTAGCCACAGTGGCATGACTTAGGCCCTTCTCTCAGCCCCCATGTGCTCATCTGAAATGACTGAAAACCAATACCCATCTTGGGGGTGGGGGCAGTGACCCCACCTGGGTGTGAGCAGATTGCTGGGGGCTTCGGGAGCCTGAGGGGCTCATCTTATTCACAGCTAGCTTGTGAGGGGGTGGGATGGGGAGTGCTTGCCCCAACGTGACTCCCGCCAGGGGGCCTGTGTGGACGGAGCACCTCAGCTGGGGAGGGAGGCCCCAGAGGGCAGCCCCTGATGCCCCTGCCCGGCGGCCGGGCACTATCTCTGCAGAGCTGCACACAGGAGATCGGCGAGGAGCTGGTCAACGGGGTCATCTACTCCATCTCCCTGCGGAAAGTGCAGGCACACCACAGCGCCAACAAGGGCCAGCGCTGGCTGGGGGTGAGTGCGCCCGGGCACGCCCCGGATTCCAGGCTCTGGCTGCTGTGCTGGGCTCCCTCCCAGGGCCTTCTCCGCTGAGGGCCCCTCATCCCGCTCCCAAAGGAACCTGCCCCTCCCCAAGGTCCAGCCCTGGGCTTGGCCAGGAGCAAAGTCACTCTGCACCGGGGCGCCTGGTCGGCTCAGTTGGTTAAGTGTCCAACTCTTGATATTGGCTCAGATGGTGATTTCAGGGTTGTGAGATCAAGCCCAGTGTCTGCCCTGCGCTGGGTGTGGAGCCTGCTTAGGATTCTCCCTCTCCTTCTGCCTCTCCCGACTGTTTGCTCCCTCCCTCCCCCTCTCTCTCTCAAAAAAAAAAAAAAGAAAGAAAGAAAAAAGGTCAGTCTGCACATATTTGTATGAACATCAAAAAAGACACTTTTCTACTGTTTCCCCTTCACATTGGGCCCCAGGTGATTTTGGATTTTGCCTCCGTCTGATCCTGCCCTCCGCTGTCTCAGGTAGTAGCTAGCAGTCAGCGCCTGCCTCCTGCACACCTGCAAGCCTTCCACGTCACCACACTTAAAAGGGCTAGTTTTACTCCCAAAGGGCCGAGGCTCGGGCTCCTGTATAATTTACTGCTTCCTGGAGCACAGCCATGTGACCCCTCCAGGTCAGGGGCAGGGCCTGACTCCAGTAGCTGCGGAACATTCCAGAAGGGAGGCGAGTTGTCACAGCGATTCGGCCTTTCAGTGCTGAGGGCCTTGACTTGATTCCTTGCTGCAGCCATTCCCCGGTGCTGCACTGAGCGTCCCGTGTATCTTCCCAGAAGACTCCGTTTCCTCGTCTCTAGAATGGGCATGTTTTTCCAGGACTCATGGGGCAGTGCTCTTCCACTGAGGTGCTGTCATTCAGCCCAGCCCACAGACTGACCTGGAATGGTCGTGTTTGTGTTTTTTGTGATTCCCCATCTCAAATTCCACTTCCAAAGCTGAGCTTGTTTTCCTGCTGAGGGCACACACGTCTCCTCTTTGGCCACACACGGGGCACCTGGGGCTTTGAGCGCTGGTCTGCCACCCTCCTGGCAGTCCCTGGTGCCACCACTGACCATACACCCCTCCTTTGTCCCCACTCCAGTGTGAGAACGAGTCGGCCCTGCACCTGTATGAGACCTGCAAGGTGCGAACGGTGAAGGCAGGCACGCTGGAGAAGCTGGTGGAACACTTGGTACCTGCCTTCCAGGGCAGCGACCTCTCCTACGTCACTATCTTCCTGTGCACCTACCGAGCCTTCACCACCACCCAGCAGGTCCTGGACCTTCTGTTCAAAAGGTGAGCAGGGCCTCTGTGCCCCACAGCACCTCCCCACTCAACACTTGGCTGTGTGTCTTTGGTTTGGCACTTGCCGTCTCTGAGCCTCGGGTGTCTTGTGTGGACCCTGTATGCCATGAGGCCTGAGCCCCCACATAGAGGGTTCTGGTCTGACCTTTGGGACAAGTCCCCCACAGTGCTGACCCTATGGCCAGCCCATGGAGAGGGGGGCCCTGGGGCTGAGGTGGGTCCTCTCTGCCCCGGAGAAGCTCTCTGCCTCAGGCCCCGCATCCTGTGTCGGGGCAAAGCCACTCTCCTCACAGTCTGGCTGTGAGGAGGTCGCAGATTCCATCCGGGGCCCCATCCTGGGTGTCACCAGAGCAGGGAGCCCTGGGGGCTGGCAGGGGGCCCCAGACCCACTCAGCCACTTGGAAGCTGCTGGGTGGGCTTCATTCAGTCGCCAAATGGACATGAAGCCCCATCATTGTGCATGAGTCAGTGTCCGTGGCAGACACAACTCCCTGGGCTCCGGGCTCCCGCTCTAGTCGGGGGAGTCAGCTGGTAACCCTAGACATCATAGCAGGTACGGTAGATGTGACGCCCTCACGGCCTCCTCTAGATACGGATGCATTCTCCCTTATTCTGATGAAGACGGTGGACCCCAGGACCAGTTAAAAAAGTGAGTGGACTTTGGGTCTGATGGGAGGGCCCCCTGTCTCCCAGGTGGGGGACATGCGGGGCTTTGGGGTGGCAGGGGTGCTGGGCCGAGCCTGGCCCCCCATATCCTGTGATTCCTGCCGCAGGGCAGAGGTGTGGGGGCCTCTCCTGCAGGAGCACAGGAGTCAGAGAGCGCCCCCAGTCCACCCTCCTGACATCTCCAGTGCAGAGGGGGACTCAGACAAACAGGGGAGGGGGGGTCTGCTCCCCTGAGACAGGCAGGGGCGCTCACGCCATGGATGGAGGGCTCCCCGTGGTGGGGACATCCAGCCCCGCCTGCTGCCCAGACCTGCCCCTACCTGGGTGGCCTTGGGGGTGGGCTGGGGTGGGCCCGGGGTCGGGCTGGACCATCCCCAGGGGCTCAGGGGTCTGTGGGAGGAAGGGCCAGGCCCCTGAGCTGCTGTCTGCCCTCCTGCCTCTAGTGCCATCTCCTCTATTCTGGGCACCTGGCTGGACCAGTATTCGGAAGACTTTTGTCAGCCCCCAGACTTTCCCTGCCTTAAGCAGCTGGTGGCCTATGTGCAGCTCAACATGCCTGGCTCCGACCTGGAGCGCCGTGCCCACCTTCTTTTGGCCCAGTTGGAGCATTCAGAACTCACTGAAGCTGAGCCTGAGGGTGAGAAGCTGGGGTAGGGTGTCTGTGGGTGTCTGGGCATGGGTGGGTGCTGGGCCCCACAGGGAGGAGCCCCCAGAGGCTGGGGTGGGGCCAGGAGCCAAGACTGGGCTCAGAGCACCCAGCTGGGGGACGGCAGTTGCGGGGACACCTCGGTAGGGGTTCTTGATTGTGGCTCCCCTGGGAGGCTCAGAGACATGTTCTGTTTCTGCAAAGACACATGGAGACTTCTCTCCTCCTGTAGCTCTGTCGCCAGCTCCAATGCCAGTTCTAAAAACAGCTCCAGAACTAGAGCCAGCTTTAGCACCACCTCTCGTGCCCGCTCCAGAGCTACAGTCAGCTCCAGCACCAGCTCCAGCACCAGCCCCAGCCCCAGCTCTAGAGCTACAGTCAGCTCCAGCACCAGCTCCAGAGCTAGAACCAGCACCAGCTCCAGAGCTAGAACCAGCTCCAGCTCTAGAGCTAGAATCAGCTCTGGCACCAGCTCCAGAGCTAGAACCAGCTCTGGCACAAACTCTAGAGCTAGAGGCAGCTCCCGCACCCGAGCCTCCCTGGCCTTCGCCTGTGACTGCAGAAAATGGCCTGAATGAGAAGCCTCATGTCTTGACCTTCCCTCCCGACCTGGTGGCGGAGCAGTTTACACTGATGGATGCGGTGAGCTCCTTTCCTGGGCAGGGCAGGCAGGGCACCTTCCCCTGGCATCCGGTCCATTCCCTGCCATTCCCTGGTCCAGAACTGATGTCGGGGTATACGTCCCAGTTCCACCAGGATTCAGTGTGTGGTCTCTGGACTGTGGGCATATAGATCGGACTCTCCCCAGCCCAACCCTCCACACAGGGACTGCGGATTACAGGAGGCAAAACAGTTGAAGGCTGGGTGGGGAGAGGAGTGGAGCTCACTGAGGTGCATCCAGCTCCACGGGTCGCCCTCCTATCTCCCCGAGGCCTCACCATCCTCAGCACTTATGAGGCACCTGCTGTGTACTAGCTTATGGCAGACAGCGGAGCCCATAGGCGTAGCAGCCACAGCGAGTGCGCATCTGGATGGGGGTGCAGGACAGGGGCAGACCTGAGACCTGACAGGGAGTGGCAGGTGCCACCCAGTATGCGCAGCTATGAATGAACCACCTTCTGTGCTTGCAGTTAGTGAGGATGAGCTGCCAAAAATGCCAAAGCCTCTTTCCTCCAGCGTGTCGTCCTGGGTCACTCATGCTGGGCACGCACGGCGGGCAGAGAACAAAGTCCAGGGACCTGCACCATCCCCTCCCCACCCCCGGCCCTGCAAGGCTCAAGCCCTGACCAGGGACCCTGCCAGGGACTGGGGAGGTGTGGACACTGCCCTGGGCTGTGGCAGAGCCGGGTGACACTCCCCACGATCCCCAGGAGCTGTTCAAGAAGGTGGTGCCCTACCACTGCCTGGGCTCCATCTGGTCCCAGCGGGACAAGAAGGGCAAGGAGCACCTGGCACCCACCGTCCGCGCCACTGTCACACAGTTCAACAGTGTGGCCAACTGTGTCATCACCACCTGCCTGGGGGACCGGAGTGTGACAGCCCGGGACAGGGCCAGGGTAGTGGAGCACTGGATCGAGGTGGCCAGGGTAGGCCTCACAGGGGCCCTGGGAACCCCCTTCTCACTTTATCTGACCCCAGGGCTGTGGTCTGAACTCCAAGGCCCTGCGGAGACCCCAGGCCTGTCCTTCCAAGGGACACGCCAGGCTTGACTCGCACATCCCGCCACCTGGGTGCTCACTCCCCTGTAACCCCCTCCCTTAGGCTGACCCCACATCCTCCTCTCCTGACCAGGCCCAGGGGCACCCCAGGGGCTCTGCGGGCAGGCGTCCGTCTTACCCAGGACGGGAGGTCCCGGCTGTAGGGACTGAAGCCATACCTCGGCCCTTCTGTCCCTCCGCCAGGAGTGCCGGGTCCTCAAGAACTTCTCATCACTCTACGCTATCCTGTCAGCCCTACAGAGCAACTCTGTCCACCGGCTGAAGAAGACATGGGAGGAAGTTTCCAGGTGGGCAGGCATCTCTCTGCAGGAGCACCAGGAGGGACCCAGGACCTGCCAGGAGGCTGTGAATTCTGGGGTGGGCCTGCTGGTGGGACCCCAAAGCATCCATTGGCCTCAGGCCAGTAGTTCTGCCTTGGGACTCAGTTATCTGTCAGCTACTGAGTGGAGCCACACTGGAGATTTTCCTGTGTGTACTGGTGACAGACACACAGGATCAGGACAACCACACACACGGAGTTCTCCCCACCAGGTCCACAGAGCACTTAGGGCCCCGCAGGACCCTGGGTGCAAACCACCCGTCCGGGCAGTTCGGGTCTGTGGGTTCTAGAAACAGTTCAGTGCCCATGCCCATCGTGCCATTCCCAAGCCTGTCCTTCCTTCCCTCAGGGACAGTTTCCGAGTCTTCCAGAAGCTGTCAGAGATCTTCTCGGATGAGAACAACTATTCTCTGAGCAGAGAGCTGCTCATCAAGGTAAGGCCCGGCCAGAGGAGGAAAGTTCTCAGTGAAAGTTTGTGTGAAGAACACCAGTCCTGTCTTGTCTGGACTTTGGGGAAAGGAGGATCTTTTTGGTTTGTGGCCATTGTGGGGGGGGGGGGGCAGTTTGGGGACCAGGAGGCCCTAGCAATGGGTTGATGTGGGAGCAGCTGGGGTGTTCCAGAAGGGATGGGTGAGCTGGCAGGATTAGTAGGTTTCCTGCTTCCTCCATGCTGCTGGGTGGATAGGCCAGGGGTGGGAGGCTCCTTCTGTCTACACTGCAGCTCAGGGAGAGGGCAGCCAGCCTGGCTGCCTGCCTGCCCAGAGATGAGGAACCGCAGAGGGAGGCCAAATCCCAAAGGGGCTGACCAGACTTGGAACCAAATGAGCAGCCCCGGGAGGCAGCTCTGGGTGCACTAGGGGATCCTCACTCTGCCCTGGGCCAGATGCCACAGAGGATCCCAGGGAGTCTTGGGCTCTCACCACAGGGCTCCAAATGAGCCGGAAGACCAGTTAGCAGAAGCTGGTCTCCCGCCGGGAGGGACTCTCCTCTGAGTTACTGCCCGTCTCGGAAAATGGAGGAATGAGGAGCTTGGGGCCCCTCTGGTCTCAGGACTCATGGGGAGGCAATGAGGTGCAAGGAGAAAAGGAATGAGCAGGAGCTTTGTGCAGAGCCCCCACCTCGGAGTGGGTGAGGGCAGAACAGTGACAGGAACAGACGTGGGATGTTGAGTTCCTGGAGGCCCCCCAGGAGGCCAGGCTGCTGGCCCACGTTCCCACACCCAGTGAGGGCCAGGTGCCACCCTGGTGGTGGCAGAGCATTTGTACCAGTGACCGGGGCCCAGGCTGGGGAGGAGAGGAAGGCCTCACTGACCCTGCCCCCAACCATGGCAGGAAGGGACCTCCAAGTTTGCCACCCTGGAGATGAACCCCAAGAGAGCCCAGAAGCGACCAAAGGAGACGGTGAGTGTACGCGAGTCTGGAGAGAGGCAGGGGCCGGCCTCCGGGTGAGGAGAGGAAGGTCACCCCCAGCCCGCCCCCTGCTGCTGTAGTGCCTGCTGTGCCCCCTATATCTGACCTCCTCTGGGCCCTGTGGGGGGGGGGCGCACCCTGACCACCTGGTAACTTAACAGTGCTGGTGGCAGCCACCAGGGCAATGGTCCAGGAGGGCCAAGCTCATGGTGGGTTTAGGGGTGGGGAGGGTCCGAGAGCCACAGAACCCTGGCCGTGTGCCAGACACCAGGCCCGGCGGGTGATGAGAGGGAGTTTGGGGTCCATGGACACTAGGAGAGAGTCCGGGGGAGGCAGCTAAAGGTCCCCAGGCAGCTCTAAGTGGGAGGCTAGGGTGAGGCTGAGGCTGAGGGAAGTCTTGGCCCTGGCTCATCCGCCCTACCCTCATGTCACAGGGTGTCATCCAGGGCACCGTTCCCTACCTGGGCACGTTCCTCACAGACTTGGTGATGCTGGACACCGCGATGAAGGACTATCTGTATGTGAGTGAGCCCTGGGGGCCTGGCCAGGGTGGGAGCAGGGCCAGGGTCCTGGAGCCCCAGGGGGAAGCACTCCCACTGAGCCCGGAGCTCTCAGCTCCAGGCATACCTCACAGGTACCACATGCCAGGGCACCTGCCCGCCTCACCAATGTGTGAAGAGGTAGGTGCCCGGCTGGTGAGGCCTAGAGCTACAGGAGGGTTTGGCCCGGCTCCACACAGCCCTCCCTCAGGTCGTGGCCCCCGCCCTCCAGGGTCAGGCACGGTGTGGCCAAGCTGGGCCTTCCTGCCCCAGGCCTCAGTATCCCCACCCCTCGTCAGAGTTGGGCAAGAAGTTCCTTGAGACTCTGCCCACCACCCCCCAGGACCCAGGGCCACGGGTATGTGCACCCACCTGCCCCCTGGTGTGTGCTGTGGGTAGTGCAGCTGGAGAGGAGTTGACGGGTGGTCGCAGGCAAGGGGCCACTTTCTGATGGTCTCTGGCTGTTTGCCTTCCAGGGAAGACTGATTAACTTCGAGAAGAGGAGGAAGGTGAGCAGCTGCAGGCCACAGGTGTTGGCCAAGATCTGGAAACCAGAGACCCACCCACCCACCCCAATTCCTGTTATATTTGGGAGAGCTGGGTACACAGGAGGGTGGGCGCAGGAGGCCAGGGCAGGGACGACTTCCTGGGAAGGGTTGTTTGGACCCAGCTCCAGGGACAGGGTAGGCCCGGGAAGGAGTAGAAAGTAGGAGGGGATGTAGAGACCCAGGGCCCCAGGCCACACCCTGCACCCCATCCACACCCCGCACCATCCTGCCCTTCCCTCTGGCCCCAGGAATTCGAGGTGATCGCCCAGATCAAGCTGCTCCAGTCGGCATGCAACAATTACAGCATCGCACCCGAGGAGCACTTTGGGGCCTGGTTCCGGGCCATGGAGCGGCTCAGCGAGACGGAGAGGTATAGCTGCGCAGGAACCGGGCCAGCCCAGGGAGCCAGTGGTGTGGGATCTTAGCAAGATCGGGGTGTCTGGACCTCCGCGGCCCGGCAGGTTCCAGGAGGGGGACCTGGGTGTGCCCCCCCTGCCAGCCTCACGGCTCCCATCTGTCCTGTAGCTACAACCTGTCCTGTGAGCTGGAGCCCCCCTCCGAGTCGGCAAGCAACACCCTCAAAGCCAAGAAGAACACGGCCATTGTCAAGCGCTGGAGCGAGTGAGTGCCTGGGCTGGCAGGAAGGGCTCCCCCCTGGCTTAGGGAAGCCTTGGCCCCCTTGTCTTCCCCCTCGGGGCCTGCTTTCTCCTCTGCAAAGTAGAGTGATCCTAAATTGATTACTCCCAAAACAGGGACGGATGCGGGGCTGGTGATTGACCGAGCACTAGGTGCAGAGCCCGGAATGTGGAGTGTAGGGCCTGGGGTGGGATGTGTCCCCGGGCACATCCAGGGCACCGTTCCCTACCTGGGCACGTTCTCCCGGGGGAGGGCCCCCCAGTGAGCTGATCCTCCCATGCAGCCGCCAGGCCCCCAGCACAGAGCTCAGCACCAGTGGCAGCTCTCACTCCAAGTCCTGCGACCAGCTCAGGTGCGGCCCCTACCTCAGCAGCGGGGACCTTGCCGACGCACTCAGCGTCCATTCAGCCGGCTCCTCCAGCTCTGATGTGGATGAGATCAACATGAGCTTTGTCCCGGAGTCCCCCGACGGTCAGGAAAAAAAGGTGACTGCCCCACCCCTTCCCCCTGATGGTCCTGCCCGGGCTCAGGTCACCACGCCCCACCCACAAGTAGCCAGGAAGCTCTTAAACTGAACTCCTAGGATCCCCTGGGTGCCCTGCAGGGTCCAGGGCTTCTGCTGATCATGCCATCCCCACAGTTCTGGGAGTCCACCTCCCAGTCATCCCCGGAGACCTCCGGCATCAGCTCAGCCTCCAGCAGCACCTCCTCCTCCTCAGCCTCCACCACGCCCGTGTCCGCCACACGCACCCACAAGCGCTCCGTCTCAGGGGTCTGCAGCTACAGCTCCTCACTGCCGCTCTACAACCAGCAGGTGGGCGACTGCTGCATCATCCGCGTCAGCCTGGACGTGGACAACGGCAACATGTACAAGAGCATCCTGGTGAGCCACGAGGGCGCCCTTGCTCTGCCAGGCAGCACGTGTCTTGAGCGCCATCCCATGCCCGCCGTCCTGAAGCTAACCTTTCAGGAGCCAGGGAGGACAAATGGTCAGAAGCTCCCGTGGAGATCGAGGGCCAGGGAGAGCTCCACAAAGAAGGCGCCTCAGGGGAAGCAGGGAGGCAGGGAGGCTGTGGGGCTTGGAGGAGCAACCAGAAGCCTGAGGTCAAGGGCTCAGGGCTTGGGGCCTGGATCTCCTCAGAGGAAGATGGGCACCACCGGTGCTTGGAGCAGACAGGGGGCAGTCGTAACTTAGGGCTTATCTCTAGGGGTGGGCTGGGGCCAGGAGACGTAGGGAGGCTGGTTAGGAGGCAGTGTGGGCAGGGTGAGCAGTGACTATGCCAGGCTGGTGGCCGTGGAGGTGGCCGGCAGTGTCAGGCGGTGGATGTCGTTTAGGGCTTGAGATCAAGCCAGGGGATGTGTCTCTAGACACTGTGTGTGTTGATGGCAAGAGGAGGGACTCCTCTCATGTTCCAGAACTCACCCTGCAGAGGAGCCGTTTATTTGCACTCCCCAGAGGCCCCCGTCCACTCACACTGGGTCAGGTGCCCCGTTACATACCCACCCCGTGCTAGCTTGACTGCCATTAACAGTTACCCGTATGATCCCATGTCCAAGGCCTGTCTGCCCTCTGGCCTTTGGGGTCGAGGCAAGAGGGATCGGCCTGTGCAGCCCACCGCACTACTGCAGCCTCCAGCCTCTGCAGGCCTGGCCAGAGGCGGCCATAGGGCATCTGGCCAGGGCTTCTCTTACCTCCGGGGCTGGGCCTAGGTGCTGTCTGTCCCCTGAGTTCACTGGTCCCATTGTTCCGCAGGGGGCAGGATCAAGGGGAGCAGCCCCCCCCAGAGCAGGCAGTTTTCCAAGGTGGCACGGGAGGAGGTGGCAGGCTTGTAGGAAAATGGGGGGACAGGAACAATTGGGAGAAGCCCCCTGTGACCACACAGAGGCCTCCCAGGGCCAGACAAGGAGGCCAGGCCCCCACAAACCTAGCACGCAGCCAGAAGCTGAGCCTCTGTGCAGGGCCCCTGCTGCTGCCCTGTGGCAGGGTTTCTCCAGGCCCCTGGCTGACAGTCTCCCCCTTTCCCACTCTAGGTAACCAGCCAAGATAAGGCTCCGGCCGTAATCCGGAAGGCCATGGACAAACACAACCTGGATGAGGACGAGCCAGATGACTATGAGCTAGTGCAAGTCATTTCAGATGATCGAAGTAAGTCAGGGCTGGCGGGGTGGGGGGCCAGGCAGGTGGGCCGAGGGGAAACAGCACCACACGCCGCACCCCGGCCCCAGGCGGACATTCCCAGATACTGCCCCGACATCACCCTGCCCTGCCCTCCTCACCAGCCCCTGGCATGTGCCCTTGTAGTTCAAAGCTAGCAGCACCCGGAGTAGAGAGAGAAGGCTTTTCTTCCAGGGCCAAGCAGCCAGATGGCCAAGCCCATGGGCCATTCCCAGGGGCACCGTGGCTGAAATGGGAAATGCATGTTTCCGAAAGAGTCATGCTTGCTGTGGACCTAAGCCTCAAAAAAATCCATGCACGTGTGACACTATCTAAGTACGCTGCAGATGCTATAACAAAATACCATAGACTGGAGGGCTGATAAGGTACTGAGATTTATTTCTCACCGTTCTGGAGGCTGCAAGTCCACAAGGAAGGTGCCAGTGTGGTCAGGCTCTGGTGAGGGCCTCTCCTAGCGGGCAGATGGCCGCCTTCTCCTTGTGCCCTCACGTGGCAGGAAGGGCCTCCTGGGTGGCCTCTTTTATAAGACATCAGTCCCATTCCTGAGGCTCCCACTCCCACGACCTTATCACGGTCCAGAGCCTCACTTAGGGCATGAGGATTCCCACATGAATCTAGGGGAACACAAACAATCAGACCATAGCAGACACTAAAAAACAGGCTACGAGGATATAACTCAGTGGGTAAGAGCAGGGAAAACGACAGAACCAAGAACCAGCAGAGACCAGGAGCCGGATGGCAGGGCTTGGAGAGCTTGGGGCATGGCCCTTATGCCATCTGTGCCTGTTTCCTCATTGCCACAAAGGAGATAACAAGCCAGGGGTTAATCCATATCTACACCTAGATGTGCATGCAGTAAAGGTGACTGTAGACACTGCCCTTACCCACTTTTTCCCATGACCTGCCAGCCGTTAGCTCAGACAGTTCGTAGTGACCCCCAGCATCCCCAGAAGCTGTTTCCTGAACCTTCTCTCACCTTCTCACACCATATTGGTGGGGAGGAGGAGCAGGACAAGTGTGACCCCCATCTTACAGGACAGGAGGACTGAGGCTCAAGGCAGGGTAGGGAAGGTGAGGCAGGGGCACAAAGCTCAGCGGGTCCGGGTTGTTGCAGGCTCCCATCCGCAGCAGGTCGGGGAGAAGAGGAGCTACCCAGGGGGTCAGGGAGGCCTCCTAGACTCTGGCACCAAAGACCCGGGGCAAGGCCTGCCCTTTGCTAGGCCACCAACCTTGATCCTGAGTAGGACAGGATTTAGGGGAGCTGTTCTGGATTCTAGGAAGCTTCTTCCAACTTGAGATCATGGTCATTGAAGGCTGCAGGGGGGTTGGGATGGATGACCCTTTGCCAGCTCCACACTGAGGTAAGGACTTTTCATTCAGAGTCCCTTTTTAAATAAGAGTCATTGGATCTCCTGAGTGTCCGGCAGTCTGTCCTCAGCAGGTGTCATTGAGAGTGATCATTGGTACTCCTGAGGTTGCACTGGGGGCTCCCAGGTCTTTGTCTCAGGCTAGCCCTGGGAGGGCTCTCAAGCATCACTGACCCTCCCTCTGTCCCTCTCCCGCCAGAGCTGAAGATCCCTGACAACGCCAACGTATTCTACGCCATGAACTCTACGGCCAACTATGACTTTGTCCTAAAGAAACGGACCTTCACAAAGGGGACAAAGGTCAGGCATGGCGCCAGCTCAACTCTCCCTCGCATGAAGCAGAAAGGACTCAAGATAGCCAAGGGCATCTTCTAATGAGTCCCCAGCACTGGCCAGCCACAGGACCGCTCTCTCAGGGGCTGGCAGGCTGGGTAACTAAGCACTTACAGACTCCAGTGGCCCAGGCCAGGCAGGCACCTGCTGTCTGAACTGCCAGCTCAGGCCACCCCCAGACTCCAGTTTCACCCTGAATCTCTCCTGCTGCCGGGATTGATGCCTGCTGTTTGCAAGGCTGACCTGGCCTCCCGTGGACCACTCGCTGCCTTAGGTGCCTTCCGCTCTCTGGAACCAGAGCACTAGCTGACTTTGCCAAGGAGCACTGCCAATGGGCATGGAGCCCTGCATGCTGCCGGGCACTGCCCTCTGTGCATTTCCCTCACACCTGCTCAGGTGTGGATCACTGCCACCTGTGCCCATGAGCACCCCAGGGCACCCACTCATCCACTGGGTCCGACCACTGCACTGCTCTCCTCATGCCCACGGGCATCGGCCCGCGCCCTTCTTGGGTCCTGGCCCCTCTTTCCACCACGCTAGCCTTTCCCAGGCTGCACCAAAGATTCCACCATCGGGGCCAACAGAGTGAGGGAGTCTCACCCACCCCCATCCAGCCCTCCCCCAGGAGAGGAGGAGGGGGACCCTTTTTCACAGATCACACTCTGCCTGGTGAGTGAGAATGGTCTCAGCCGAGTCCCATTCACGTCGAATCTCAAGACACTGCAAGTGCCATTCATCACTGCACCCTGGGCTTCACGAGACCACAAGAGACGGGGGTTAGTGGGAAAGGAGAATTTGGGGGAAGGGGAGGGGTGTTGAATATTTGTATAAAAGGCAAAAAAAAAAAAAAAAAAGTTTACCAGTTGGGGAGGGGCAATATTTATTTGTTGTAAATAGCAAATGCTAGACTTGAATATTATATTAAAATCCAGTTTCTACTATAACCTGAGAGTTGTGGTTTTCTTCTTTCACTTCCTCTGCTAGTTTGAATGAGATACAGACTCCCATTCTGTGTTCAAATAGGAAGTTTTGCATGGTTACCAGTTTATTTTTATGCAGGAGAAGCGGAAAGAGCCAGCAACCCTTCTCTGGCTCACTTAAGGAAACATCAAGCCTACTTGATTTCACAGAGTAGATGTTCACCTCAGAGTCATTAAACTGGGCACTAAGCTGGGTCAGCACCCCAGCACCCCTGGGATTCAAGGCTGTAGGTGCTTTCACAGGGCATAGCAACAAGCCCTGAAACTGGAGTGTCTTTAAAAATCACATTTGTGAGAGAAAATTGTGAAATAAGAAGCTCCAGGGTCAGTCTCTCCATAGAGATCATTCACTCAGCTGGAAGGGAAAAATGATCAGGATGGATAGTCTGTGGACTCTGGAACCTCATCCAGCACAACAGTCAGGGGAGTGCTTAATGACAAACAGCGCCTCAGGACTTGAGCAGTTAAGGAGATCTCTGCCAGGCCTCACACTGGCTACCAAGGCAGCAGGACAGAAGCTTTAATCCCAGAACAACAAGGAATATTTGGGACAACATAGTTTGGAAAAGTCACCATAGAAACAGAAGACTGTGGCTCTCGAGCAACAGAAGTAAGCCCGAAGAGGAGGAGAATCAGGTTTCCAGAGTTACCACGTTGTCATCCTCAATATCCAGCTCCCAGCAAATGACAAAGCATACAGACAAATAGGAACCCAGTGCTGGTATAGGAAAAAAAGAATTTGACAGACTGTCTGAGGAAGCCCAGGCATTGAAGTTACTAGTCAAAGACATTAAGTTGACAGTCTTAAATATGCTCAGTGAGCTCAAGGAAACCACAAACAAAGCAAATAATCTCTAGAGGAACTCCAGAAAATGATGTAAGAACAAGTAGGAAATTTAATAGAAATTATGAAAAGGAACCAAATGGAAACTCTGGAGCTGTAAGTATAATAACAACAGAGGGATTCAATGTCAGATTTGCACAGGCAGAGAGAATTGGTGAACCTGACCATAAGGCCATTGACATTATTCTACTGAAGAGCAGAAAGGAAAAAGAATGAAGAAAAATGAACAATTCCCTCTGGGATTTGGGTGACATCATCAAATGTAACAGCATGCACATGCTGAGAGTCCCAGAAGAAGAGAGAGGAGCAGAGAGATTATTTGAAGTAATGATGGCTGAAAACTCAGATTTGATGAAAGACATAAATCTACACATTAAGAAGTTCAGTGGACTCCAAGCAGGATAAACTCAAAGAGACCCACACTAAGATACATTGTAATCAAACTGTTGAAAGACAAAGAGAAAATCTTGAAAGCAGCAAGAAAGAAGCAATTCATCATGTACAAGGGGTCCTCCAATAAGATTAAAAGAACCTATGGTGGCCATAAGGCAGTGGGATAACATATTTATTTTTAAAGTACTGAAAGGAAAAGGAATTCTGTATCCAGCAAACTATCCTTTCAGGGGGCAAGGAAATGAAGACATTCCCAGATAAAGGAAGTTAAGAGATTTTGTTTTCAGTAGACCTGCCTAAAGGAAATGCTATAGGGGAGCCCTTCAGGCTGAATGAAAGAAAACGAAACAGTAACTCAAAGCCATATGAAAAATAAAGACCACTAGTAGAGGTAAGTTATAGGTCATTACAAAAGCTGGAAACGTTTTACTTTGGGTTTATAACTCCTTTTTTCTATATCATGTGAAAAGCAAATGTATTAAGCAGTGTAAATCTGTATTAATGGGTACAGAATACACAAAGATATAATCTGTGCCAATAACACAAAGTGGGGATGAGGATTTATAAGAGCTGAGTGTTAGTATACTACCGAATGAAGCTGGTATTATTCAAACTAGGTTGTTCTAAATTTAAAATGTTAATTGTAATCCCAAAGGTAACCAATAAGAAAATCTTTTTTTTTTAGACATATATACAAAAAGAAAGGGAATCAAAATGGTGCACTATTTAAAAATCAGCTAAATCCATAAAAAGCAGTAATGGAGGAATTGAACAAAATGCATATGGGACATACAGAAAACAAATGGCTAAAGGACTTGATAAACAAGTCCTTATCAGTAATTACTGCAATATACTTAGGTTAAACTCTCCACATAAAATTCTCTATAAAACTCTCCAGTTTGGCAGAATAGATTTAAAAAATGTGCTCCACCAGTGTGCTGTATTCAAAGAGACTCACTTTGAAAGACATACAAAAAGATTAGAAGTAAAATAGTGGGAAAAGATATTCCACAAAAACAGGAAACAGCTGGGGGTGGTTATATTATTATCAGACAAAATCGATTTTAAGTCAAAAAAGTATTGAGACAAGGTCCATATACATTGACAAAAATCTCCATTCATCAAGAAAAAATAACAATTGTACACATCCATCCCTACAGCAAAAATTGACATCTTCGAGGTGAGTCGGAGACTTTACTGCCTCACTTCCAATAATGGCTGGAAAAATTCAGGCAGAAGATGGCTACAGGTAGAGGATTTGAACCACACTCTGTTGGACCTGGCAGACAAATGCAGAACCCTTCACAGCAGCAGCAGGGCACACATGCGTCTCCAAATGCAAATAGAACATTCACCGGAACACACTGTCTATGAGACCACAAAACGAGTCCTAATACATTTTAAAGATTGAAGTCCTACAAAGTATCTTTTCCAATTGGATAGAAGCAGAAGACCGCAGTGGAAGGAAACCTGGAAGACTCAGAAGTATGTGGCAATTAAGCAACACACCCCTTGATAACCAATGGGTCAGAGAAGTCCCAGGGGATGTCAGTAAATGCCTTGAGACAAGGGGAGATAGAAACAGAACGTACCACAAGTTACAGGACACCGCAGACGCAGTGCTAATGGCAGAATTTCTGGCTGCCAATGCCTACGTTAAACAAGAAAAAAGGTTTCAAGTCAGTAACCTAACAATACACTTTAAGGAACTAGAAAAAGAGCAACCAAAGCTGACAAACCTTTTAGAGAGATTGGCCAAGGGGGGAAAAAAGAGGTACTAAAATCTGCAATGAAAGTAGGAACATTACTACCAATTGTACAGAAACAAATGACTTGTAAGGAAGGGGAATGCCTGACTGTGTGCCTGGGACACACACTGGAATACAAGTGAGCCGTTGAGAGGGATGCAACTCACACACATGCCGCGACATGGGCGGCCCTTAAAGACGCTGTGATCCCACCTACAAGAAACACCTAGAATGGGCAAACTGATTGGGACACAAAGTAGAAGAGCCCACCAGGTGCAGGAGGCAAGAAGGGAGAAGGGAGCAGTATTGATTAATGGGTACAAAGTTTCAGTTGGGGGTGATGAAAAAGTGTTGGGACTCGATGTGGTGATGGTTGCACAACAATGTGAACAACACTTATGTCACTAAATCGAACTCAGTAGTAGTTAAATCAGCATATTTTGTGTTACATGTATTTTACGCTGATTTTGAGAAGATTTGCAAGGACCGTTTCCTGACCCAGGACAGTGGCTGCTGTTGTTCTACAGCTTTGGAGGAAGAGGAAACATTTTCTGCTTGTTTTATTGAGGTTCCTGTTGATTGCTAATTAGGAGCTTGGAGATTTCAGGGTTAAATTTGAATTCCATCAGCATTAAGTGCTGGGGGTGGGGATTGTAAACAGATCAAAACGTGCAATGTGGGAGAGAAAAGGTCACGGGGAGGTTTTGAGCCAGTGGACAGACAGGCCTCCGCATCCTCCGTTCTGTGTAGGGGCCCATGGTCAGGCCTTTACCTGGACTGGAACCCGCCCCCGCCCCCCCCCCCCCCCCCCGCATCCTCACCCCTGTCCTTAGACCTTCTGCTTGCTTTGAATCCAGGGGAGAGAGCTCTAAAGCAGGCTCCAGGCTCCAGCTCAAGGGTCAACTCTACTGACTGAGGCACCAGCTGGAAGCTGTCCAGGGTCCTGGAGGCTCCCGACAATGGGCCAGGAGTTAACCCCTTATGTTAACCTCTCATGGTGAAGCCCAAGGAGGACGTGCAGGGCAGCCTTATTCCAGAAGTATTTCTGCTACCTATGAACTAGGATTTCCAGCCTCCCCACAATCCTACATAGAATTGATTTTGCCCAGAAACACTCGGAAACACTCGCCCACCCTGCCCACCTCTCTGCCAGGCACATGGTGGCCACTCATCCTGGTTGGCGTCTGATGAATCCCAGCTGAGTGCTGGTTGGTGAGGTTAAGGGTGCTGAGTCCTTCCCGTGAAAGACCACCATACTCCCTCCCCCTCACTGGCCAGTATGAGTTCCAGGACCACGTAGTTCTGAAGCCTATTGTATTGGGCAACCACCTACTTATAGCCGCAGTCATGTTGGTGCGGACTTGTCCTAGAAGGTAGCTAGGCCAGAGCCCTTAGAGGTTGTACCCCCCTAGGATGGCTATGTTCAATTTGCCAACATATAGTATAACATTCAGTGCTCATCCTGTCAAGTGCTCCCCTCAGTGCCCATCACCCAGCACCCCATCCCCCACCCACCTCCCCTTTCACTACCCAGAGTTAGGAGTCTCTCATGTTTTGTCACCCTCTCTGATTTTTCCCACTCATTTTCTCTCCTTTCCCCTATAATCCCTTTCACTATTTTTTATATTCCCCATATGAGTGAAACCATATAATGATTGTCCTCTGATTGACTTACTTCACTCAGCATTATACCCTCCAGTTCCATCCACATCAAAGCAAATGGTGAGTAGAGATCAGCTGTGTTCTTGGTCAGGTCTGTGATTTGGTTATGTCATTGAGGAGGTGGGGGGTTTGAACCTTTCCTGCAGGGAGGGTTGAAAGATGAGGCATGGGAGGGAGGGGCAGGAATCCCGCCACAACTGCCAAGACCCAAGGGCACAGCCTCGCCAACAAAATAGTGACACGTGTCACCATAGTGGTAAACGGGGGCTGTCCTCAGTTTCCCCATACGCTGTCCTTGGGCTTCACCTTGAAAGGTTAACAGAAAGGGTTAACTCCTGGCCCATCGTTGGGGAACCTCCAGGACCGTGGACAGCACCTCAGTCATTAGAGTTGCCCCCTGAGCAAACACCTGTTTGAACTTTGCCGGCCACCTTCCCATGGCTTCTCAGTATAGTCCAGGACTATAAATGTATTTTCTCTTTCCCTTGTGACTTTAACATTTTCTTTTCTCTTGCTTTTTATTTTATTTTATTTATTTATTCATGAGAGACACAGGCAGAGGGAGAAGCAAGCTCCCTGCAGGGAGCCCGATGCAGGACTCGATCCTGGGACCCCGGGATCACAACCTGAGCCAGAGGCAGATGCTCAACCACTGAGCCACCCAGGTGCCCCTTTCTCTTGCTTTCCTGTTGTAAGACAATTTATAATATGTACACAAAATACATGTTAATCGTGTATGCTATCGGTAAGGCTTCTAGTCAACGGTAAGGCTGTCAGACAATGAGTTTGGGGGGACTCAAAAGTTATATGTGGATTTTTGACTGTGTGGGGGGTCAGCACCCTGACCGCTGTGTTGTTCAGAGTTCAGCTGTATTCTCAACTTCATCCTCTGCCTACAGACTGTGAAAGCAAAAGCCTGACGAATTGTGAGATGACCTGACAGTGGCAGATGTCCCCCAGACATACAGCAAGGTTGGCCTCTGCCAGAAAACCACCCCAATGCCCCCCACCAACATTTGGATGTGGCATAGCCCACCAGAGATGTGATTTTCTGAATGACAGGCAGGCACAGCTGTACTTTCCCCCAACAAGGGCTAGAAGCACCCCATCCCAGGGCCCGTCCACGGCCAGTCAGAGGCACCGGGGACCAAGGGTTTTCTCTTGTAGTGCCAGGAGGCTCCTGCCAGCAGACAGGGACACTTAGAGAAGTCCTGTTCATACTAACATGGCAGAGGAGGGTCACACTGTTGCATCCTTGCACTTCCATTGGCCAAGAGCAGGGATGGTCACCAGGAAAGGCCCACCCTGCCATGAGGGTCTATCCCCTCATTTTTGACAAGAAATCCTCTCTTCACACCTGAGAGCCATGACCAACCCAGGAAGCCCATGGTGGCCAAGGTGGTCACAGGCCAGTCAGAGAGCATCCTCTCCTTGCGGGGACAGGTTTGCCCTCTGTGCAGCTCAGTTCCCCAGACCTCCATCTCCCCTCTGAGGCTGGAGAGGGAAAACATGATGGCTGCTGTCCCCACCTCACCTGGCAGAGCTGCTCAGGACTCCAGAACCTTCCCTCCTTTGAGCCCTCAGCACCAGCCCACAGAGACAGAAGAATGGGTGAGGGGTGGGGAAGATACCCCCAACATCGTTTCAGGCACTAGCTTTGGAGTTTCTGGGTATGAATCTTTGCTCTCATGACCTGGGGCATGTGACCCCCCCTCACAGCGTCCACCCCCTGTAGCTGTGGTGACGTCAGGCTGCTCAAGGTCTCTGCAGGATGCCTGTTCCCAGACTCCTGGATGTGGGTATGGCCCTGACTCTGACCTCTGCCTCCTGCCCCCAAAATCTGCCAGAGCCACCCCATGCCCAGCTTTCTTGCAACTTTTGCTTCTAACCTTCCGGTGTGATGCTTTATTCTCTCTTCAACTCACATCCAGCTGGAAGCAGAGTCGATTTCTCATTGCAAGCCAGGCACCCAGGCCCTTGTTAGAACCCAGAGGTCACTGCCTGCACCCAAAGAACTTGGTACAATGGGATCCACCCATGCAGGGGAGGCCACAGCCCGCAGAGCTCCTCTCTCCCCTGTGGCCATGGCCCACCCTGCTCCCTGGGAACCAGCAGTCCTGCTCTGACACTTTACTTCTTCAAACCTGTTTCCTCCTCTCTAGAATGAGGGTGGTTCTCCAGACAGACACCATGGGGAAAGGCGGTGGGCCCAGTGGCTAGTACTGCAATGGAGCTGAGAGCACTGCTTCTTCCAGCTGGGGCCTCGGGGGCAAAGGAAAAAACGAGACAGAGAGTTGAGGCTTTATTCAGGAAAAACTCTGGAGGGGAGGTGGGTCCCCTGGGTCTTCTTGGAGCCAAGGGCATTAGAAGCCAATGACTATGGGCATCTGAGCCCCCTCAGAGTCCCCAGAGGGAGGAGCGGGAGCGGCATTGGAGTCCCCAGATGGGGGACCAGGAGCGGCATCAGAGTCCTCGGAGGGGGGAGCAGGAGAGGCATCAGAGTCCCCGGAGGGGGGAGCGGGGGCTGCATCTGAGTCCCCGGAGGGGGGAGCGGGGGCTGCATCTGAATCCCCGGAGGGGGGAGCCGGAGCAGTGTCAGAGTCCCCAGAGGGAGGAGCGGGAGCGGCATTGGAGTCCCCAGATGGGGGACCAGGAGCGGCATCAGAGTCCTCGGAGGGGGGAGCAGGAGAGGCATCGGAGTCCCCGGAGGGGGGAGCGGGGGCTGCATCTGAGTCCCCGGAGGGGGGAGCGGGGGCTGCATCTGAATCCCCGGAGGGGGGAGCCGGAGCAGTGTCAGAGTCCCCAGAGGGGGGAGCAGGAGTGGCATTGGAGTCCCCAGAGGGGGGAGCAGGGGCTGCATCCGAATCCCCGGAGGGGGGAGCCGGAGCGGCCTCATCTCCGGTCACGGTGGGCAGTGCCTGGTAGGTCACGGCCCAATAGCGCAGGTAATCAGTCCTCAGGTGCTGCTTCAGGGAGTTGTGGTCCATCTTCTTGGTGATCTCCAGGTAGTTGCCACTCTCCACGGTGTAGGGATCCCAGTGGATGGGGACAGCTGAATGTCCCATGTTGGGGTCCCTGCAGAGAGGGAAAGTCTGGGTGGGGGCTGGGGGCTCACAGGAGGCTGGACACCTGTGTCCCTAGCCCACCTGGCTCTGGTTTGCCTGCACAGTCCTCCCCCATCTATGCGGACCCTTAGGATCACAGCACCTCACTGTATGGTGCCTGGACACTGGCTGGGTAGAGCCCCAAGAGGTGCTGGCTCAGGCCTCGGGCAGTAGTTCTATCCTCATATACAGACAGACTGCCGCACTGAGGCTTGGGGAGGCTCAGTGTAAGTGAGGGAACAGGGCCTGCAACCCAGGCCTGCAGGGCAAGGTGGCAGGGGCCCTAGGCTTAGCCTCACCGCTGCCTTACCCAGTTCTGGCAAAGTTGGTCCAGTAGGCGATCATGGCCTTGGAGACAGTCCTGTCTTGGGGCCGGTAGCCCAGGGGGGTGGCGAAGGGCTTCCCAAAGACATACTGGATGTCATCTGCGTGGTCAGCCCCCACCCATTTGGGGTAGATGGGCATCCGAGAAGGGTGGGAGAACAGGTAGGTGTAGGTTTTGGCACTCCTGGGGAAGGAAGGGGACAGCACCCAAATTGGCCAGGCGCTCACCTGGGGCCACCAGCACAGGGGCGGGACCCAGAGGGAGCCGAGGTGGCAGCAGGGAGGGGTCTGGAGGATTCCTGACACCTGGGAAGGGAGAGCCGTGGGCCAAATCCACAGATTCAGGGCTTCTATGATTTCAGTTGTGTTTATAATTCACCTCCATAAAACACACTGAGGCAGCTTCCTCCTGCAATTCAGTATCAAGAAAGATCTTCCTTTGCTCTGCAAACTTATTTGTCTCTTAATTTAATTGGACAAGGTACATATTCTCAGATGTCTCTCCCTTTTTTCCTTCACTGAGGGGAAGCTCAGAGCTACATTTATGGCTTAGTTGCCACGAAGCCTTTGTTCTAGATTCTAGGTATGATATTGTCTTCCTCATTGTTAAGCATTCCTAACTTTCTAAAATTTTGCTGGCTATTATTATATGGAGACTTTTAATGTGGTCCCAATCGTAAGTTATTTTGAAAGTTGGCCATGTTGAAACCCACAACAGAGACTATCATCATCCATTGTTCTTTCCTTCTACACAGTGTGAGGGGTGGAAGGTTGATTCAAGAACTTTTCAATGGGAAGGACCATGGGGTGAGGGGGCGCACACAGTCCTGGGCTGGGCAGAGGATCATGGGAGGGTCTTGCAGAGCCCCCTGAGGCTGGGAGGTAAGTAGGGGCCCTCTCAGGTCTTGTCTTGTCAGCCTAGGCAAGGCAGGTGGTGCAGGCATGGGTGGGGACCCGAGCCCAGCTTTCCCAGGCCTCAGGCCTCACCGACACCTGAGAGCCACCCTCCCAGGAGCCCTCACGGCGCAGGTGCACCATCCCAGGTGGGCCTCCCCAGGGAGCCTTCCTGCCCAGGTCCTCACTTGGCATTGGCTCTGTGCTGGGCCAGAGCAGTCTCGGTAGGCACCAGGAAGAGGATGTCGGTCTCAAAGTCCACCACAGTCTTCTTCTTAGTCTCCTGTGTTGCGTCGAGGGCCCAGGGCTTGGTGTAGACGTCAAAAGTGGAGTTGGCACCCCTGAGCCCCTTGATCATGGTGAGCCCGCTGATCAGCTTGTAGAAGTCCTCACTGCAGGGACCAGGCCAGCACTGGACCTTCCACCCAGCACTGGTGGGAGAGTATGTGCCGCCGCCCCCACCCACCCACCCAACAGAGGGCCATAGCCACCCTCCCCCCCATAGTGCTGACCTCCTGGGCCGAGGCCTCTCTCCACCGCCCCTGGGCTCTGAGCCCTGAGCCCCACACCCGCTGCTTACTCGGTGACCTCCTGTTCGTTCTTGTTGATGGCCGGCATGTCAATGCTGGCAAAGATGTGGCCATCCATGTTGTTGGTGCCCGCTATGTAGTCGATGTCGGCCGTGTTGGCATACAGGTTGATGGGGTCATCAGGGATGAAGTCTCCGTCCACAACAGGGATAAAGCCCAGATAGTGCAACATGGGATCTGAGTGGGAGAGCAGTAGGCTGTGACACCCGGGGTCCCCGCTGCTCCTCCCCTCAGCCTCTGGGGCAGGGCTTGGAGCCATCCTGCCATCCCGACAAGGCTGCAGGGGAGCCCTCTTGCCTCCTCTGATCTAGACCAAACTTGCAGGGCCTCAGAACTACTGATGTTTAGGGCAGGATAATTCTGTTGTGGGGGTTGTTCAGGGCACGGCAGGTTGTGTAGCAGCACCCCTCAGCCCGCGGGGTACCTGTAGCACCCCCTCTGCAGCTGTAACAGTCAAAACTGTCTCCAGACTCTGCCACATGTGCCCTGGAGCAAAGCCACCCAGGCTGAGAACCACCGGTCTAGAGGCCAAGCTTGTCCTCCCTCCAGCCTCTCTTCTCAGTGAGCCTAAATCAGGGAGAAGGAAGACCTGGAAGTATTGAGAGGACCCAGAGAGAAAGAGGCACCCCCTCTCAGGGCTGGGTTCTGGGGTGTTCACCAGAAACCGTGTGAGGTCCACATTGCCCTCCAGACCCCCTAAACTGGCCCTGAAAGGACCATAGACCCGCCCCAGAAGGGAGAGGCATTGGCCTGTATGAGGCCCAGCCCAGCTGGCTTCCCTTTCCAGTTCACACCAGAGGAAATGACTGGTTTGTGTTTGCGGCGGCAACGTGTTTGCTTTGCTTGGGCTTTGCTTAGCGCTTATGGTTGAATTTGCATCAGGTAGAGGAGCAAGGGATGGGGCCTCTTAGCATCAAAAGGGTGAGCAAGAGCAGATCCCAGCCTGCCGGACTGATGAGGTCCCCGGCATCCTGAGGGGCAGAGGAGCAGAACTGGGGGGGCCAGATGCTCCTGAGGGTGCTCAGTGGGTGAGTGTGCAATGCGTGAGTGGCAGCAAGAACGAATGACTGTCTAGGACAAAGGCTCTTGGTCTTGGGTTCATGGATCTCCCTCAAATTGCACACAGGTGACCCCAGATGTGTGCTTTGTCAGGGGCCGGGGCCCACTCATTCTTCAGCTTCTCACGGGGGTTGTGACCCACCAAGGATAAGAAGAAAGAACGGCCCCCGTCCTTACAGCTGGAGCCACTGAGCCTGCAAGGGCGGTGGCGGTAGCAAGTTGCCTGGGGACGCCGGCCATCTGGTGACAGGGCCAGCCTCAGACCCGCAGTTCCTCTCTTTTCCTGGAGCTTGGCCTCCCCTGACCCGGAGCCCCCGGGGCCCCCGGGGCCCCGCCCAGCAGTCTGCACTCACACTCCATGCCTGCCAGGGGCATCTTATAGGCCAGCGTCAGGGCACGGGGGTCAGTAACCTTCAGACACTTGGCCATCTTGGCGGTATCGTCCAACGGGCAGCCCACCTTCTCAGCAATCTGGAGTGGGAGGTAGGCAGGTAGGTGAGGACAGGTGCTCCGGGCAGAGGGTGATGGAGTCCAGGACAGCGTGGGAAGGAGGGAGGCCCCTGCCCTGCCCACTGCAGCTCCTCCTTACCCTTTTGGCCCAGAAGAGGGGGTTCCTCTGGATGACCCAGGGGCACAGGGCCACGCCACTCTGGCTGATGGCTCTCCGGATGAGGCCCTTGTTGTAGGGAGAGAGGGTCTGCAACACACAGAGGTTCTGTCACCAAGGCTCCACACCCCCTGCCCACACACCAGGTCCCGCCCCTTTTGTCCCTGCCCCATTGGCCCCCTCCCACATCCCTGGGGACCCCAGACCTGAAGAGAAACGCTGGCACCTCCAGCTGATTCCCCAAAGAGAGTGATGTTGTTGGGATCCCCACCAAAGGCTGCGATGTTCCTCTTCACCCAAGCGATGGCCATGTGCTGATCCCGAAGGCCATAGTTACCTGGGGGCAGGGTGGGGGATGGGCCTTCATCGGGGACCTTTGGCCAAGGCTAGGGGTGCCAGGGCCTGGCACACACGAGGTACACCATCCGCGTGGGTGTGGAGTGTGTCCTTGGCTGCGTGGAGACCCTGGCTGAGCCCCAGGATGTGGAATGATGGGTCCCCTGGAGGCTGGAGGTGTGGGGCTCATTCTGGGGATGGGGATGGGGCCCGGGGGGGGGGGCTGGGAAAGCAGGAGGGCCAGCCTGCTCCCTTCTCTCCCTCCCTGCCACAGTCCTTGTCTGGCTGCCTGTCCTGCGGCTTGTGTTAGCGCCTCGATGTCTTATGTTCTGTTCCTTTCACTGGGCCCCCTGAACCTGCTCCCCAGGGCTTCTGGGTCCCAGTCTGTCTGTCTGTCTGGCAACCTCTGTTCTTTCACAACGGCTGCCAAGGGGCCCCTGCATCTCGCAGCGCCTCTCCAGCGCCCCCAGCTCTGCAAATAGGATCCTGCGCCTTTTCAGGGGACCTGTCAGGAGCTGTTCCAGTGGGATGGGAGGGGAGGCGCATCCTCAATGGGCTCGGAGCTCACTTGCCTCCCCTCCCCGGCGGCCAGAGCACCCAGCTCACCTGGCAGGTTGGCGTCCCCAGTGCTGAGGAAGCCCAGGGGGCCAACACGGTAGTTGAAGGTGACCACGATGACGTTGCCCCGCGTGGCGATCTCTTCCCCATCATACAGGTAGTTGCTGAGAAAGTTGGCACCGTGGCCAGCCCCCATGAGAAAGGCACCTCCGTAGATCCAGATCATGACGGGCAGGTTCCGGGAGACTGAGGCAGAGCGGACAGGCCCCGTGACCCCAGATGCTCCCCTCAGGTGCCCCTCCACACGCACCCTGCGTTGATCTCGGGTTATCTGGGCTCTGGAGTCCCCAAAGGGCAGGGCTGCCTGGGGGCGCCCTGCAGGTGTGGGGAGGGCGAACCCACCTTCCTTCTTGCCCTGGGGGACCCAGATGTTGAGGTAGAGGCAGTCCTCCTCCCCGTAGGTGTTGTCCTGGGTGATGGTGGCCTGCAGGCACCGCCTCTTGAAGTCCTTGGCCTTCAGGGTTCCTGTGGGTGTGGCCAGGGCCAGTGTGAGGATGGCAGCCACCCCCCCGGGGTTCCCCAGGCATGGGACCTCACCAGCACCTGCCCGCTCCCACCTTGCCAGCCAGGGTGTCGCTGAGGGTTCTCCAGGGCCTTGGGTGGGGCAGCGAAGGGGATGCCCTTGAAGATGTCGACATAGTCACCAAAGAGGCTGAGCTTCTTGTTGACGCCTTCCACGAAGCCTCCTTCCGTGTACACTGCGCCCAGCTGGGGGTAAAGGCCGAGGCTCAGGCGGGCTTGGGCAGGTCCCCAGAACGGGGTGGAGGGTAAGCTGGGCAGGCCCCAGGGTGCCCAGAGGCTCCCCCGACACCACTTCAAAGGTGAGCCAATCTGCCTCCGAGACCGAGGGCCCTGCCACTTGCCCACGTTACTGGAGAAGCAGTGTACTGCCTTGGTCCCAGTCCCTGAGGGTGTCCTGCTCCCTGGTTGCTGGAGGAAGCTGGGTCAACCAGTATGTTCCCACTCCAGGAAGCCTTCCAAGTAGTCCAGGAGAGGGGGGGTGGAGGTTCCGATCCCAGTTGTGGCTGCCTAGCTGTGACCACAAGGCCCGGTTTCTCTAAGATGGGCAGCAGCAATGCTTCCCTCGTGGCCTGTCTGCTCCCTCTGTGTACCCCCTGCCACCCCAGTGTCCAGCTGGCTTGGAGTTGGTGGTCTGGTGCCAAGTCCTCACAGTCCTTGCACTCACTACCAAGACCCCTGCCCCCTGGGCCACCAGAACCACTGCTGTGTCTCCAGCCCTGGCACGGAGCTGGCCCCATGCCGAACAACACATCCACCCTTCACCAGGGTCCTGGGGGCTGATGATCATCTGCCCATTGTCCCACAAGGGCACTGAGGCTGTCCCACTCAAAGTCACCCGATGGGAGAGCTACCTGACCTCAGAGCCCGGCTCTCATCGACTAGGGCTGCCTCCCCATCCGTCTGGTCCCGTGGCAGGTGTCTGCTTCAGGGCTCTTCCCGGGGGGGGGGGCAAGGGCAGGGCAGCCCTGCCCCCCCAGGCCCAGCTGGGGTCCCAGCACCCTGTAAGGTCCAGTCTAATAGGGGAGTGGGCAGGCTGGAAGCAGAGAGGAAGCCAGAGCAACCCCTGCCAGGTGCCTCAGGGGTGGGGCCGGGGGCCCAGGGGCAGGTGCAGGTCTGCTCCCCCCACCCCCACCCCGTCTCTCGTCTCAGGATGAGCAGCCTTGTTGCAGGCCTCCCGGAATCTTTCTGACGGGCTTCGGGGCTGCTGGGCTGGGGCAGCAGGCCAGGTCAGTGCCTGGGGACTGGGAAGTTGCCTCTCAGAATTGAGATCGGCCTGAGGGCCCTGGGTGAGGGGCAAGGTGTGGGAGGGTGCCACTGGCTCCTGGGGCAGCGGGGGGCAATCCTGGTCCTTTCTGCCTTCAGGGAAGACCCCGGGGAGACAGTGACCTCCTCTTGGGGGCAGCAGGGGCCCAAGGTCAGCACCGGAACCTCCAGGACCAAGGGGCAGGTGCCAGGCAGGCAGCTGGGACTGAGATGGCAGGATGAAGGTGAGCAGCATGCGGGTCACGTGTCTGCAAGGGTTTCAACCCCGAAGCACCTTCCCTGCCTTGTTCCTCATACAGGGCAGATGGCAAATAGGCCCCAGGGGGCCTCTTGACTCTCACCCTGGAGGGACCTGGCTACTAGCAAGCAGGTGGGGAACTCCCTCTTGGGAGTGGGGGTGGCGTTGGGAGCCAGACTGAGGTTGGACTAGATTGGAGTTCCAGGCTTGTCAGCCACTGGTGGCTGTGTGCGGTTGGGCAAGGTGCTCCTCTGCTCTGGACCCATCTCCCCTTCTGTAAAAGGGGACGACATTGACACCTCTGGGGAGGAAGGAGCCAGAGGGATGCTGTGGGTCAGGTTCCCAGACTTAGCAAAGAAAAATTCAGGACTCTCAGTTACATGTGAATTTCACATAGATTGACCTTAAAAAAAAAAAAAAAAAAAAGGCAGATTGAAGTGCCTGGGAAGTGCTGTTTTGATCATTGGGGTGTCTCTCAGGCTGACTCTTCCTGCCAGTGACGCTGCACAGCTTCTGTCCACTGGGCCCTGATTCCAGATCTTGCTTAGTGAGAGGAGAGAGGCGCCCCTGCCCTCTGCTGGGTCCTCACTTACCTTTGCTGTGCTCGCTAGTGCCCAGTAGCAGGTGAACCCCAAGACGACCAGCTCTAGGCGCCCCATGGCGTGTGCCCAGCCCGAGTGTGGCCTTCCCTCTGGCCCACAGGTTATTTATGGGGCTGGAGCCGGCCAGAGTCCGAGTTGGCAGCTGCCCACAGAGGGCCCCATTTCCGTCCTATTTCTGCCCCTTCCTCCAGCCTGGCCACTCTCCAGGTAGTGTATCTGGGGCCAGGAGACAGCTGCTGTTTCCAGCTGGCCTCAGACTGGGCCAAGGTCACACAGTGGGTCACGCGTGCGCATGTACATGTGCGCGCACACACACACACGCACAAGCACAGGTGCAGGGACAGTCGATCTTTCCCAGGCCTGGCTGTCCCCCGATGCCCTGGTGCCACAGCACACCTGTGCAGGTTACTGCCTACCTGGGAGCAGAGGCAGATGGCAGGAGGCAGAAGGCTGTCCTGGCTGGGTGAGCAGCACACTGCATTCTGGCTCACTGATTTACAAGGACTCGGTTCCACCCTCAGAGAGACGGGCGTGCTTGACTCTGTGGCCCACCTGCCACCTATCCCCAGCTCAACAAAGGATTTGTGGGGGACCAGGCATGTGATTTCTGAGGCACAGATGGCTGTGTGGCTGACCCTGTTCCCAAGGGCCCACAGGGTGTACAGTGTTAACTAGGTGTGGGGACCCATAGCAGCACAGGCGCTCTTGCCCTTGGGGTGTGCGGGGAACTCACGTTCAGTATGACAAGTCCTGGAATGGGAAGACAGGAGGCTCAGGTGGACAAGGGAGAGGGGGAGTGGGGCTCCAGCCCAGTCCTGAGGGCTTCCTCAAGGAAAAGGAAAAGCCACGCTTCCTGGCCAGAGGTGGGCCAAGCAAAGATCCTGGGGCAAAGCCAAGCAGAGACAGAGACTGACCAACAGACCAGGGATGGGACAGAGACCAAGACAGAGTCAGAGAGAGTGGGAGAGAGAGAAGACCAAGCAGAGAAGTAGGGGGAAAGCAAAAGTGGCCACCACTGTATCCTGGGGCTGTGCAGGACTGTGTTAACAGAGGTTATTAGACAAGGCAGGCTACCAAGGGTAAGGCCTGTGATCGTGCCTCTGAGGTTGGCTGCTCCTGGGCTCACAGCCGACACTTATGCTCCATAGCTCTACCATTTCCAGAGAGGGGGCACGCTCAGGAGCCAGGGGACGGCCAGAGCCCTGTTGGGCCAACGGCCCCTCAGATGGGCCCTGGCAGGCCCTCTGCTGCCCCAGAGCCAGCACTTTTGATGCAGGCGATGGCTCCACTTCTATCATGCCTACTGCCGCCACCAAGCCCACCTATTAGTCTAAATCTTTGGGGACACAGAGTACACAAGAGGCTGGAGAAAGCAGGGGGCGGGTAGGGAGGGGTGGGCAGCTGCTGGTGGGAGGGAGGAGTCAGGAAGCCGGGAGGGGCTGTGCAGGCCACGCTGGGGCTCCAGTATGAGGACAGGTGGGGAGAGGCTGCTGCCCCAGCCAAGGACAGGGGTTTGTGAACCCACATCTTCTGTTCACTGCTCCAATTCTGAGAACCTGTTGTACAAGAAGTTATTCTGAGCATGGGAGGAGGGGACCTCTCCTGGTCCCCAGCAGCAGGGAGCAGGCCATCGGGGACAGTCAGCCTGGCCAGCTTCCTCTCTACATGCAGGTGCCTGGAACTAGCCACTGCAGGCCAACCGTGAGCCACCAAGCCTCTGATCCATCCTCCGAGGCTCCCCAGGAGCCTGCACAGTGGGCTGGGGCTTTCCTGAGGCAGCTGACTTTAGAATCAATGTGACCTAGGGACTTGTCACACTAGGTGCCCAGTGTGCTGGCTGAGGAAAGGGGTGACTGGGCTCATCTCTGGCTCAGGCTGCTCCGCAGGACTGTGGAACAGTTGCCCCATGGTGTGGGTAGGAGGGCAGGTTCAGTCCTACCAGAACTCTGCACTGCCACGGGTTTCACGTCAGGCAGCTGAGAAGCAACAGGGACCGTGTCCCTGCAAGCCTCTCAAGAACACATCTGGCACAGCAAGGGATGAGGTTGAGGCTACAGGACCCCCTGGGACGTGATATCTGGGGTACTCGAAGCTGCTCTTACCCAACCTGCAAGAGGAAACTCCCCTCTGGCTCCAAAACCCTCACAGAGCCACTGAGACTCCTTGAGAAAGTATATTTGATAAGGACAACTGGGCCCCGGATGAATGCGATGCAAACCCAAGGACAGTCTTCGCCCATCTGTGACCACGGACCAGCTTCCTCACTGGTCACCAGCCATCACTGCCATCAGTCATAAGCTCCAAAGCAAGACTGACACCTCCCCTGGTCACATCATCTCCACCTCCAGCTTTTGTTGTTTTCAGCCACAGAGAGGTGCTATGCACCGGCCCAGCCTGCTAGACAATGGGCTGGTTCATGGCTGCCAGTCCTTTGGGGATCTCCCCAAGCACTGGGGGCCCGAGGGCAGCCCCAAGCAGCAGGTGTCACAGGCAGACAGGCAGGAGCAGGGTCAGCTGCACCCAGTGCCAAGACCCCAGCTTTCCTCTGGGGGTGCTCCTAGGGCTGTTCTGGTTACTGTGGGCAGCACTGGGGAGCCACAGCTTGTCCTGGCTCCGTCACCAGTCTTGCATGATCAAGGAGACCCAGCCTTGGGGGCAGGGCTGTGTCACACGTAGTCCAGAATCTCTGTCTCCATCTCATTGTCACTGCCATCAGATGGCTTGAAATCCTCCTCCTCCTCTTCATCGTCCTCGTCGTCTTCCCCGGACTCATATGTCAGCTGCTCTTTCTCTCTGTCGGCCTTGGCCGGGCTGGAGAAGAGAGCTGGGGCCAGGAGACAAGGCCATGTGTGTCCCAGCACAGACTTCCTGCGTGGCCCCCAGATCCCCAGCTACTGCAGGTCTGAGCCCCAGAGAGGTGCCAGACAGCCCAGCCCTGTGACCAGCCATCAGATTGCTGGAGGCCTACCTACAGCTCTGGGTGTCTGGGCTCAAGCCCCAGAGAAGCTGCCTCGGGAAGTACAGAGGCCTGGGGCACCTGGCACTCTACTGTTTAACAAGCACTTCAGGGAGATACTGAAGCCAACAGCTTGGAAAACCACTTCCTTGAGGAGGCTAGGCGGCTTCCTGGGTCCAAGGGACCCCGAGAATGCACAGGACATGCTGGGTAAGTGCTTTTTTCTGGAGGGAGGGTCCAGAGCCTCAAGCAAACTCTCAGATGGGGCCCTGTCCCCTCCTCTCGCCAGCTCTGCGGAGTATGGAGGGGTCTGGGGAAGCCATGAGAGGGGCCCTCTTGCTCACTCCCCCCATCCCCCGCCTCATCAGGCCCACAGCCTAGCAAGGGCTCCCTTTCCTCACAGCCCTCACCACCAGCCAGTTGCCAGGGCTGTCTGGTCCTGGGAGAGGGGCCGGGCAGTGTGGGGGTGACAGGGAGACTGAACATGCTCGCAAGCAGCAGTAAGAGGCAGAGTGGTGCCAGGACACAAAGTGGTGGCTCCCGGCAGAGCCAGCCCAGCTCCAGCCCTGCCCCAGGGCCTGTCTCCTGCCAGAGGGCCCAGGGCCGAGCACCATGACTCCCACCCAGGCAGAGGCAGGCAGCCTGGAGATCTGGCTCCCGGGGGGGATGATTCTTGGGTGCAATTTCTCGGGGAGCAAGTCCTGTAGGGATACTTGCTCTGTCCCCAGAGTGGGGCCTCCCCTCACCCGAGCGGCTCTCACCAGGCCTCTTGGAGCGGATGATCTGCCGAATCATGAGGGACATGGTATCTCGCAGCTCGTCACTGGTCTTGGGAAGGCACCAGCCATCTCGCTCCGTGCAGCGGCTCTCCGCCCCATCATTGCGGTGGATGATCCTCTGCAACCTGGGCACCAGGACACGGAGTTTCTGGGAGGGTTTCCATCCGCGTTCCAGCGGAGGCGGTACAGCGCTCAGAGGATCAGCACTCGGCTGGCCACACAGGGGACCGAGCCCAGCACCGAAGAAAAGCTGTGGACGCCGGACCCTCCTTGCCGGGGTCCTGCCCCAGTGTGGCCCCTGCCCTTGGGCTGCACACAATGTGGGCTGTGGCCACGCACACTTCTCTGCGGGCACCCCGGCTCTCACCTAACTCGAGCCGTGTCTAAGTGCTCCTGCTCTTCCCATCCCAGCACTCCTCGACCCTCCTTTAAACATTACTAAGAGTTGGCTGAGAGGCTGCCGGGGCTCCAGTGGCCGGGAGGCTCAGGACTGTGACCCAGGCCTCCATGCAGGCGAAGGAAGAAGACCATAGGTCTCTGCCCAGCGCAGTGGCTTAGAGGTGTGGCCCGTGCAAACCCTGGAAACTGCTCCTGGGGGCCATCAGACTGATGGAGGGGCGCCCAGCACCCGCCGCCCCAGGTAGGGCGCCCCACTGACACCAATGCAGGGGAAGAACTGCAGGGAAGTCTTTGGTCCCCAGCCCCACCTGGGCACCTCAGGGCCCCTCACTACGTACTCTTCCACGTTCAAGTCACACAACTGGTAGAACATCTGCCGATAGGGCGGCAAGGCCCCCTCCCGGAAGACGTAGACTGAGTCCTGGGGAGAGAACAGGAGGATGGGACAGTGATCTGGAGCTCAGAGCTCTCCCCAGATGGTCTGCACCGGGCAGGCCTGGCTCCCCTCCACCTCACCCCGGGTTCGGGGGGTGTGGACAGGCCAGAGGCCAGGAGCAGGTGTGCAGAGGCTCTGACACGCCCCCCGCCCTGCAGCCACGAGCTTTGTGGCCAGCACATGTTACAGCGTGGGCTCATGCCAGCTCTGCAGTTTGCCCTCATTCCTCACCACCTCCTACCAACAGGTTCTGCTCTGTGGCCCTGCAGGCTGCCCGCTGAGAAGCAGGGCTGTCCATTTTCTAGAGGTAGGGATGGTGAGAGTGAGAGTGCTTAAGGGGAAGGACAGCCACTGAGGCGATGCTGTGGCTGCCCCCATGAGAAGAGAATGCTGACAGCACCGGTCTTTGTGCCCCCGTGCCCCCCTGCATGAGGCAGTGAAGCCAGGGCTGGGGGGCTCAGCTGGCAGCTCCCCGCCCCACCCACGGCAGGGGCCCGGTGGTCTGCCGTGGCTCTACATGCACGCGAGCACACCATCTGGCCCATCTGGGTGGTGGCCACAGCCTCATATAAGGCAGCCACGTACAGCTGCCAGTGTCACATTTCCCTCTGACACTTGCTACCACCTCTTTGCCCAGATGGTCGTCAATGCCCTGAAAACACTCCTAGAGGCTGGGAGTCATGCAACGGTCCTGACGGGCAAAGGTGACTCTCAAAGTCCTGCCCATTGGCCCAGACCCAGGACTCTGGGAGTGTGTATGTGCCCGCCCCTCACAATGGAGGGGCCTCCTCTCCACTGTCCCCCAGACCTCCAACTGGGTGGGCGGCCACCTTTCTCAGGGGCTTAGGGGGTGCCCACCTTGAGCTTGTACTTGTTGGAGTTGGATTTCCGTGAGCTGGCTGTCCCCGATGGGCCCAGGCCCTGCTTCAGGTCCTGCATGGTGACAACCTGGGGGGCTGCAAGGGACAGCAGCAGTACTTTGGAATACGGCAGGATGTTCCCCATCCCCCTCCCCAAGGTGCTGGCCTGTGCACCCTGGAGCGGCCCCTGGGAAGCCCCATCCCATCCTACCCCCCCCCACCTCACCCCACCACACCCCACCATCCCAACACCCGTCTCCCTTGGTGTCTCTATGAGGACAAATCAGCCTCAATCTGCGAGGCAAGCAGAGGCACTCACGCATCTTTTTGACAGTGATGGGAAGGCTGTAGTTGTATGTGCTGCGCTTCGCCTTGACAGGCATGTCACTCGGGGCATAACCTGCAGACAAGGAAATGGGTGCAGAGCCCCATCTGGCAAACAGAACTGCCTTTGCACTGGAGGTGCACCAGGGTTGCTGGGGTTGGCTCCTGAGAGAGGGTCACTGTGCCCCCAGGCGCCAGCAGTCACCATTCCACACCCCCCCCACAGGACTGCGTGCTGCTGCTCCATGTGTGGCAGCTCACTGAGGGCCCGGGGACAGGACACTGACTAGGTGCCTGGCCCCCACCACAGGAACTATAATAATGCAGAATAACAGAGGGGACGGAGGGGATGAGTACCGAGCCAGAGGGCGAAGGGTGGAGCTAGGACACAAGCTGGGAGACTCATTTCTATGCTATTCTGCATACATCTCACCAGGGGAGAAAGACTTCTACCGTTACCAAGATACATTTTTATTACGAAGGCAATGCCAGCAAAAGAAAGATATTGAGAGAGAGAAATTCAGAAAGCCAAGATCTTAGTAATTTTTTACCATATTTCATTCCACAACGGATTCGGAAATCAAGGACTTGATAAATCTTGGCGCCTGGGTTTTTTCGGGGATCGTACCCGTATCGGATCCACAGGCTCCTCCAGGGACCTGTGATCTGGAGACGAAAGGTGGGCATGTGAAGTGGGGCCAAGGTCCATCCCTGGCTTCCTCAGAGATGCATATTGGGCGGGGGTGGTGGTGATGGTGGCAGCCAAACACCCCAAGAGATGGCAACACAGCTCTGGAACCCCACCTCAGCTCTGCCGTAGGGCAGGTCACTTGGCCTTTCTGAGCCTTGGTCTTCTTGCTGGGGGTGAGAGAAACCCCCTTTCCTATCACTTCTGTGAGGACTACATGAGATGATGCCCCGGGAGCCTTTAGCACAGGAAGTGCCCGGTGTTACTGCCATCCCAATGGGGGGACACACTGTCCCAACCAGTCCTCCTGAAGTGCTTCTATCTAGAAAGCCAAGGCTGAAAGACAGACAGCGGCTCTCTGAAGGCTAGGGTCGGAGCACAGGAAGGATGAGCTTCCCTTGTGCCCCACCTGTCATCACGGTCATGGTCATATCTCAGGCTTGCCTCCCCAGGGCACCATGTGGGGATCTTTGGCAGGTAGGATGCCTTCCTCCAGCACCTTTGGGAACCTCAGTAATGACGCCTCATCTCCAGGTCGTCCTGGACTGGGCCCAAGGTGGATCCGCCCCTCCCACCCTCACACCCACTCAGCCCAAGTAGAATGAGCCTAGCCAGGTGGCCCCGTGGTTGGGCCTGCGCTCTGCAGCCAAACAGGCTGGGGTCCCAAATGGCTCTGTCCATGCTGGCTAGAGGACCCTGGCACAGAGTCTCTATGTGCCTCTCTGAGCCTTGGCTCTGCTTGAGGTAAGAAGGGAATCCTGCTTGTCACCCCTCGGGGAGGGAAACAGGATACAACAGGTCCACAGCACTTAACCCAGTGCTTGGTCCTTAGAACGTTCTCAATAAAGGATCATTTAAAAATGTATAATCTCGTTACTTAAGAGTTATGTGATTACTCTCTACGCCTAAAGTCATCCCAATATGGCTAGTGTTATGGAGGAGGCTGTGGAGGGCCAGGGACAGGCCTATGCTCCTGCCATAGCTCAGAGAGATCACATTAGCCATCAGGGCAGCCCTGGTGGGTGCCAAGGTGAGAGGCTGGGCAGGCACTCACCATGTAATAGGCCACGAAGGGCAGCAAGACCTTCAGCTTGTCAGGATGGACGCTGATGTTGGCCTTGACGGCGTTTCGTGACCAGATGGGCCGGATTTCAAACAGCTGTGGGGGGGGGAGGGGGTTGTCAAGGCAGAGACTGAGACGAGCACCAGCTGTTTCCTGCCCATCTGGCCCCCAGCAGACCTTTGGGGAGAGGAACTGGTGGAGATCAGCGGCTGACCCGGCAAGGAGTGGCCTCTGGGAAATGCTGTGCCCAATCACTTTCCCTACCCTCAGAAGGGGAATGCACGCCTGGCATGGATCAGCTGCTCGGCCTGGGCGTCCTGAGATGACCACAAAGGACATGGTCTCTGTCCTCACGAAACTCACAGGACAGTGGGGAGGCAGACAACCAAAGGAGCCACAGCAGGGCCAAGAGGGGGACGTGCCAGAGTTCTGGGACCTTGAGCCCCAAACTCAAGGGTGGAACCTCAACTGGGATGTCATGAAGGATGAAGAGGATGGCCTGGCCCAAGGGAGGCGTGCAGAAGGCCAGGGTGGCTGGAGGGCAGGAAGGGCTCCAGCCAGGCAGAAGACTGGGCTGGATCCAGAGGACAAGTAGGGTCCCCTACGTCTCCCCTCCAGTGTCCAACTGCTGGAAACCAGTAAGGTGTCCACACGTCTTTTAAGAAATATGCCCCCATACCACAAAGGAAGAGTCAATTTCACAAGGGCAGAGGAGAGCTTCAGTCAGCTGCAGTGTGGCCTCACTGAGAACCTGCCATCGATGCCTGTGGAGGCATTAGTAACAGGCAACTGCAGGCTCCTCCCAGGACCTGCCAGCTGGGGGGCAGTGTAAGGCCACTCCTGTCCACTCCAGCACTAGCAGGGACGAAGCATCAGGTGGCATACAGTATGTGCTCCATCTGGTTTCTTACCACCAGTGATAGAGAAAAGAAGGTTTCCTGAACCCCAAAGCTCCACTGTGAAGTCACGAGCAGACAATGCACCGACTGCTTACCACCCCCTTTCAAGAATTCTAAGAAGTATTTTCAACCCTGGGAATGTAGGGCTTATATTGACGTGGCTTTGAGATGTGACATCTGGAGAGGAGACGTTCCCATATGCTGATGAACCAGTTTTTTTGTGTGTTTTTTTTTTTGTTATTTTTTTTTAATCTAGTCACACAGAGAGAGAGAGAGAGAGAGAGAGAGAGAGGCAGAGACACAGGCAGAGGGAGAAGCAGGCTCCATGCACCGGGAGCCCGACGTGGGATTCGATCCCGGGTCTCCAGGATCGCGCCCTGGGCCAAAGGTAGGCGCCAAACCGCTGCACCACCCAGGGATCCCTGATGAACCAGTTTTAAAGTCAGTACAGGGATCCCTGGGTGGCGCAGCGGTTTGGTGCCTGCCTTTGGCCCAGGGCGCGATCCTGGAGACCCGGGATCGAATCCCACGTCGGGCTCCCGGTGCATGGAGCCTGCTTCTCCCTCTGCCTGTGTCTCTGCCTCTCTCTCTCTCTCTCTGTGACTATCATAAATAAATAAAAATTAAAAAAAAAATAAAGTCAGTACAGCCAACAGCAAAAGGAGGGAAGGGACCCAGGTGGGCAAACGGGAGGTGGTCAGTGAGGAGGCGGGCCCCAAGCTCACCTTTCTCAAATCCTCCTCCACCTTCTGGTCAATGGGGTTGGTGGAAATCCTCCTCCATGTCTGGACAGCAGCCTCCAGCGGCTGCGTGGGCACCTCGTCCTCCTCAAAGTTGACAAAGATGGCATTGTGGGGGCGCCGGGCCCTGCTCAGGCCAATCAGGTTCTCTCCCGAGACGGGGGGGTTGTTGTAGCCTTCCCTGAGACAGAGAGAGCTGGTGTGGGCTGCAGCACTTGGAAGACCCCAGGCCGGACCAGGCAGGGAGCCCACCACGTGATGATGCCAGCAGCACACATGTAGGGGCCCCTCCCTGGAACCTGGGTCAGGGGTTGGGGAAGACTCTCAGCACCTGTGTTCTCAGGCTGATGGCCAGGCAGGAGCAGGGACAGCGACTGCCGAGGACAGCTCAGGGAGGCCAAAAGGGGTGAGGCTGCTGGTCTGAGAAGTGTATGCACAGCGCCATATAGCCTGTGGAAACTGGAAACTGTGCAAGTGCCCACCAGGCAGGAATGGTGAGCTCAGGATGGTGTGGTCACACAGGACCCACTTCATCAGCTGGCAGGCAATACCTATGTTTGCTGACTTTTACGACTCACTCACTAAACCTTCAAAACAATCCTATAAGAAGGGAATCAATTTCCTATGAAGTAACCAACAGCAGCTAGATACCTACCTTGAGTCAGAGCTCGTGAGGACAGAGCTGGGACTCCAGGGCCCTGAGAACCCCATCCTACCACCTCTGACAGAGCATGTCTGACCCAGAAACATCTCGACAACAGCTAGGTGAAGGAATGAGGGACATTACTGAGCAGTACAGAGGGCAAAGTGAGGGTTAAGCACCAGCTATGCACAGGCCCCTCTCTTTTGGCACCAGGCTGAGATGCTAAGGTGGCTACCTTATTCCTGTGGGATGGTAGAGGAGCTGGGGGTGCTCAGGTCATGATCCTGGGGTCCTAAGATCAAGCCCTACATCAGGCTCCCTGCTCAGCGGGGAATCTGCTTCTCCCTCTCCCTTGGCCCCTCCCTCCCCCACTTGTGCATGCCCTTTTTCTCTCTCTCTCTAATCAATAAATTAAAAAAATATATATATTTTTTAAAAGGTGGGATGTCAGGGATGCCTGGGTGGCTCAGCGGTTGAGTGTCTGCCTTCAGCTCAGGATGTGATCCTGGAGTTTTGGGATCGAGTCCGGCATCAGCCTCCTGCATGAGCCTGCTTCTCTGCCTGTGTCTCTGCCTCTGAGTCACTCATGAATAAATAAATAAAATCTTTAAAAAAAAAAAAGGTGGGATGTCAGAAATGTCAAGCCCATACTAAAACAGAGAGAAGAGTCTCAAGAAGCCTCACAACCCATCGTGAGCTTTAATGATTATCACCACACAGCCAATTTCATTTCATCCATACCCTACTCCAAACCTACAAAATTATTTTGAAATATATTGTTTCACTTATTTTTTTTTAATTTTTTAATTTATTTATGATAGTCACAGAGAGAGAGAGAGAGGCAGAGACACAGGCAGAGGGAGAAGCAGGCTCCATGCACCGGAAGCCCGATGTGGGATTCGATCCCAGGTCGCCAGGATCGCGCCCTGGGCCAAAGGCAGGCGCCAAACCGCTGCGCCACCCAGGGATCTCTGTTTATTTTTAATTAAGACTTCTAAAAAGACTTATTTATTTATTTTGGGGGGGGTGATGGCAGAGAGAGAGGGAGACAGAGTCTTAAGCAGACTCTACCCTGAGCAAGGAGCCTGACCTGGGGCTTGATCTCATGACGCTAAGATCATGATTCTAGCCAAAATCAAGAGTTGGACGCTTAACCAAATGAGCCACCCAGCCCCCCAGGTGATTATTACCTTTTAAAATTGTTTCATTTCTACCTTAATTTTCAACATGAGTATAAACCACCTGCATACTTATAAAAGACAAAGTGATTTTTTACTTTGGGAAATAAAATGACTAAGAAGGGAGCGAGTCTGTGCCTTTTTTATACAGTGACTCCATTAGAAACCACCCTGAACAGGTGTACTACTGCCCTGTCTTCAAAGACATCCCCCAAGACCCTGGACACCCCCAAGAGGGAAGGCCTCAGTGACTGACTCCAGCCCAGGTAGTCCACTGGGGCCAGTGACCATGGGGAAATGGCTCCTTGGCTGCCTCGCCAGCTGCCCTACTAACTCCCTCAAGGAGGAAGGACCCCCTTCAGGCCAGGCTCCCAGGCCATCCTCTGCCCAGTCCTGTAGGAGGCTCAACCGCGGGTCGTGGAGCCCGGCATCAGCAGAGAAGAGACGAGGTCCAGCAAGGCTGCAGCCTGGCCTCCCCGCCAGCCCTGGTAGATCCAGGAAGGCCAGCAGAGCTGAAAAATCAATAGTGGCCCTGGGAGAAAAGGCAGGTTGTTTCCATTTGCTAGAAAATCAATAAGCCACATGGGGAGGGGAACAGGGTGTGTGGTCCAAGGGTAGGTGGCCTTCCTCCCTTGTCCCCCTCCCAGAGGCTTGGGAGCAGTTGCCTCCCAGCCCCATGGGACAGTGGGGGAGATTCAGCTGCTCCAGCCCCTGCCAGGACCCAGAGTGCGGAGGGTCTGGTTTCCTCTGCATATTTTCGTGTCTGTTTTCTGGCCATGAGGGCAAATGCTTCGTGTCTATTTCTGGCCATGAGGGAAATAATCAAAGCATTTCAGAAATATGTAAATTGTCTGTCCTCCACCAACCTGAGACTCCTGTGCCAAGTACCACACATGCAGAAAACCCTGCCACCCCGCATGGAGGGCTTCGGCTGGGGGAGACCTGACCTGCTCTGTTCCTATAGTCTGTCACGTTCTGCCCCTCAAACCACCACTAGCTCCTGTGGTCAGGAAGGGTCAGGTGCTGTCCCTGGCCCTGGCAAGAGCACACAGGCTTGTGGGAGAACCTGAGTCCTTCCCCGTGGGAGGCACGCAGACCGCTTTCTCGAGGACGCACTGGGAAGCGGGGGGGCCGAGGCAGGTGTGGCAAGTGGCAGGCAGATGTCCATCACTGAAGCTTGTACCACAGCTGGGCCTCCACGGAGCCACTCTCCTACTTCGGGCTGTGTTTGGGAACCTCCGTGTTTTTTAAAGGGGACAATACACCTTCTCCATAGAATCAAATCTAAGCCCTTCACCTCAGTCTGAGACCCTTAGCCCTACCACTCTCCTGGACCCTCCTCAGCTGGTGCCAGTCCCCTGATCTAGAACGTTCTCCCCGGATCTTTACCTGCCCAGCTCTGTCATCATTCAGGTCTGTTTCAAACGGAGACCTCACCCCATTCACTGCCCCTTATGACCCGCACCCCTTTTGTCTCCTCTAAGACACACACCTGACCACAGGCCCATCGCTCATTCACGGTTCACTCTTGCGCCATCCAGCACCCCACCCAGCCTAGTGTGGTCCAGGTCTGTTCTCTGCTGATGCCGGGCTCCATGACCCGTGGTCAGCACTTGCTGATGAAAACATTTAGTGAGGAAAAAGAACATTCTCATCCTCTCGCCCCTCCACAGATAACTGCTCTGGGCCCTATCTTCCAGATTTTTCTAGGTTTCTATTGTCATGCCACAATTTATTTTCATACCACAAAAGGTGCTGCCTTTTTCATAGAGCAGGGTACCCTGGGCAAGTGCCACATTGGTCCACGAGCCCGCTCTCTCAGACACTACATGGTGTTCCTCAGCAGAGAGGGGCTGTAAATTCATCAGCCACATCCCTATTAATGGACTGATGACTTCATTCTATCAATGAACACTCACTGCTCTAAGTATTTCAAGGTACATGCTTTTGGGCATAGGTCTCTCAAGTCTTAAGGTGACATCCTGTTACCCTCTCTGTGGCCTGGGACCTCTGAGCAAGATCTCTGGGTTGGGGCACAGGTATCAGTTATGCCACCTCCAGAGATGTTGGAGCCACAGGCCTGCAAAGCCAGCAGTGCTGAGGGCCTGATTCGGGAGTGGCAGAGCTGAGCCCTGGACCCAGGAACTCTAACCACAGAGCCCTTGCTCTGAGTCTTGATGCTGCAGCAGCAGGGGGACTGGAGGGGCTTACCGGTGCTGTGTCTCTGGTCGATAGAAATAGTCCACTGGGGTATCCAGCCGGGAGAAGATGGGTGGGGGGATGTAGAGCGGCAGCTCTTGGTGGAAGAAACTCTCCTTCTCAGGCTTGAGCATGAGCACTCTGTCATACATCGACATGTGCCTGCCATTGGCATCTGTGTGCACAGCCAAGTACTGGAAGTCGGACATCCCTGGAAAGAGAGGCAGCCAGATGGTGGACACCCTATTACACCTTCCCAGGAAACAGCAGCTGCTGCATATCAACACCCACATGTTCTCGGGGTGCCAAAGACAGCTGGGCAGTGGGCACTTCTGGGCAATGGGGGTGGGAGCCGAAACGGCACCTTCGAAATACTTCCATGCACTTGACTCCATGTGCTTGGGCATCTCCTAGAGGGGCGGGGGGCAGTGCAGTGTGCAAAAGTCTGGTCTAGGTTGGTGCTTCTTGAAATATAGAGCATACACGATTTACCTGGGACCTAGCTAAAGACTCTGGGATGCTGTGCCTCAGACAAACTCCCAGGTTTGGGGGGTGCTGCTGGTGCACTGAGCAGTGGGGTGCCGGCTCAAGCAGACAGATGGAAAATGCATCACTGGGAGACCTCCCCCCAGGAGGAGGGGCAGCCCTCTCTCTGTTGTGGGGAGGGGGATACCATGTTCCACCAGAATGACTGACATTCAACATGCACAGTGCAGGGTCCCTAGTCCTGGTTTCATTTCTTTCCACTTTCCAGCCCCTCTTCCTTGCCCATCTGTGTTCTCTGCAGGTTCTCTCTCAGAACAGCAGCGGGCACTGTGCATCCCTAAGGCTCGCTAGTAACCTGCCAAGTGCCTCCTGTGTGCATGAGCCGGTCCCTTAACACCATCCCCCTGACCCCCACCCTTCACAAGGGCTTAAGAAACCCAGGGCCCCACACTACAGACAAGTGCCCAAGGCTGAAGGAAGCCGAGCCCCTGCCCCTGCCCTTTCGTTCCTTCTTACTGCCTGCCCCACTCAACCCCTTACGGCCTCCTCACTGGGGTTCCCTACGGGTAGCAAACTGACTAGGGACCTCAGGGAAGACAACAGTTGGCTAAGACTTCAAAGAAACAGGAGGTCCCAAGAGGCTGAGTGATCTGGGAAGGCTGCAGAGGAAAAGCAGGACCAGTACCAGCCAAGACTTAGTGGAGGTTCCAAAACGCTGAGGGTCAAAAACCAGAGGCCTGCTAAGCAGTTGTATTTGGCCCCCACATAATGGACTCAGAGACTTAGGGATTCCTTAGGGATGTGGAAGATAAGGCAGCAGTGAGCCCACAGTCCGCTGAGAACTGCTGCACGGAGGGAGGAACGTGTGCCTCTTGGGCCTGCGCTGCCCCACTCTGCTCCTCCCCTGCCCCTCACTCCTGGGCACAGACTGGCCCCCTTCCCTGTGGATGACCCACAGAGCACCTGCAGGAATGTGGACGCAGGCCCTGACATAATCCAATGCAGAAAGTTGCAGTTACCTTGAAACTTGTAAACGGTGGAGATGATGCCAAGAATCTCGATGTCAAATGTGACCTCTGGCTGGGCCTCAAGCCCCAACACCTCCCTTTGCCGCTTGGTCTTCCTCCTGATCCGGAACAGCAGGCTGCTGGTACTGAAGCGGTTGGCACACACAGGGTGGCAGTAAGGGTCCTTGGGCCGGAAGTAGAGCTCCAGCCTCTTGGTGGGGTCTGCATAGATCTGTGGCATGGCCAACGAAGACAGTGAAGCAGTGACCAGTTAAGCAGCTGGTAGGGGGCTGCTCCCCTCTCAGCAAAAGCCTAATGGTGACCTGGCTGCTAAGGGAAGGGCCAGGAGGCTTATGGTTCATTCTGAGCTTTTAATTCTCAAGAGACCCATTTTTTTTGAACCTGAGTATCTTAGTGTTTACCTAGCAGAGAAAATAAGGATAGTCTCTACCTTCTAATAGGCTGGAGACACTAACTGCCAACTAAGTAAAGCCTCCCCCCACCTCCCGCCTCCTCCCTGTGCCTGTTCAGTGCCAGGAATCATGAGCCTCCTCTGGCAACAATCCATGGCGGTCTTTTCAACCCCGGGTTTACCATGGAGGGGACTGAGGCCGGCAGGGGTGGGTGGCTTGTCTTGACTTCCTACTCTAGGAACTACCTGCCCCAAAGGGTCTTGCTATTCAGTCTCACAGGCAAATGTTTCCAGGTCCAAAGGAAATTAATTAGTAGCAAGCACTAAGACTCCGACAGGATGTCACTTATCCTTTCCAAAACTTGGTTCCTTCTCCTTAAAATGGAGATACGACTAGTACCTACTCACAGGATTGTTACAATGATTAAACGAATCACTGAATTGTTGGATATGTAACACACTTAGTCTGGAGTCTAACTCGCGATGAACATGCTACATGGGTCACCCACCCACGAGTGCTTGCCCTGAACAGGCCAGGAGGGACCCTGTAAGTGTCGGCTGTGCGTGTATGAAAGCTTCAACCTTGCTCACTGGGCCAAGAGCATCTGCCTTCTAGCTTGCTGGCTCCCAACACTAAGGACACAGCCTGGCCTTTAGTAGGTGCTCAGAAAACATGGAGGGAAAGGAAGTTAAAAGAAGCCTCAACCTTCAGGATTCCCTTCTCATGAAACACATTATCTATGAGACCATGAGGCTGGGAATAATCCCAGATGCAGGCCTGGCAGAGGAAGTGCACAAGCAGCATGAACAGAATGAATCAATGACCAGTCTCTTCCAAAGGGCTCACATTGTAGCCGGATACAAATACCCCTGGGGTCAGTGAGAGCAAGGGTCCTGTCAATGCCACGGTAAAATGAGTAAGTCAGGGTAAAAGAACCAAACGTGACTGACTGGGCCTCTGTGGCTTCCTGTGTTCAATGACAGGTTTTCAATATTCATTAAGGATGAGAAAGCAGCAGGTAAAAGAGTTCAGATTTCAAAGGGGAGACATGCGTGAGTTCAAATCCCTACTGTACTGTCTGACCCAACTTTGCCTACCTGAGTCTTCATCTGAAAAATAGGAATAATGGTACCTAACTCATTAGACTGTCGTGAGGATTCAGTCGTGCACCTGACAAATATTTTTGGAAGAAGGTACTATCGTGGATGTTAGGACTACAGAAGCGAATGAGACAAGGTCCTGCTCTCAAGGAGTTTACAGTCTCAGAGCCAAACGGCCAAGATACGATAAACATGTTAAAACATAATTTCAGGCTGGAAGTAACAGGTCAGGGTGTCTGGATGGCTCAGCTGGTTAAGCACCTGCCTTCAGCTCAGGTCATGATCCCAGGGTCCTGGGATGAGCACTGCCTCAGGCTCCCTGTTCGGCTGGGAGTCTGCTTCTCCTTCTCTCTTGGCCCCTCCACCCCCATCCCCACTTGTGCCTAGGCATGCTGCTCTAATAAACGAAATCTTTACAAGAGAGGGGTGGGGGGAGGGTGGGATTAACAGGTCCAGGAGCCAGATGCGAACTACTAGAAGCCACTTCAATTACAGCAGTCAGAGAAGGACTCTCTACAGAAGAGACATTTCAAGCTCTGGCGCATGAAAATCACTTCCCCCCCAGCCTTGCACGAGGTAAGAATTCATCCCAGCTCCCCCATTTTTCCAGAGACCTTGAACAAACTGCCTCAGTTACCTGGGTAAAATGCAGACACCGTCACTTGCTACCCAGCAGGGTTCTAATGAGGATGATACATAAGTAAAGCACCTGGAATTGCAACTGTTACGGAAGACGTCATTGGTCATCACCACCTTTATTTTTTTAAGATTTTATTTATTTGACAGAGAGAGAGAGAGAGAGAGCAGAAGCAGGGAGAGGGGCAGAGGGAGAGGGAGAAGCAGACTCCCCGCTGAGCAGAGAGCCCGACGTGGGACTCGATTCGAGACTCGATTCCGGGACCCTGAGGTCACGACCCCAGCGGAAGGCAGACGGCGCTCCCCGTTACCACCTTTAACCCTAACAACGCAGCACCTGGTCCCCTCTCCATTGGTCAGCACCTCCCGCGCCTGGGTCTACTCTGTGAAGGAGGGAGGGGCAGCCCAGCAGGTCGCGGGCCTGCAGCCGAGCTGCACTCCCCGGATCCCGGAGAAGAGGATGGAAAGGACGCCCCGCCCCAGGTCTCCACTACAGCCCATTCCCGGCGTTCGCCCGGCAGGCGGTCCTCCCCGGCGAGGGGAGGTAGGTGCCCGCCCACTGGCGCCCCAGCGACCGCCCCCAGCTCCGTTGCCAAGGAAACTGCACTTCCCCCGGGTGGTCCCCCCGCCCCCCGCCCCCCCCCCCCCGGCCGAGGTCTCGAGACGCCGTCTGCCCCGCGGTCCCGGCCGCTCCTCACCCGGGAGACGCCCTCCTCGCCGCCCAGAGTCCGCAGCATCTTGGGCACGTCGCGCACCACGCCGGGGTACTCCACGCACACCATGCGCTGCTCGCGCCGCAGGTCCACCGGCACCGCGACCCCCGGCCCCGCGTCGGCGGCCGCCGCAGCCACCGTCGCCGCCATCCCTGCCCCTGTGGCCCGGCCCGCCGCGGCCCGGCCCTGCGCGTGCTCCGAGGGGCCTCGCCGCAATGGTTCCGCGAGAGAATCGTTCCGGGCGTCCCGGCTGCCCGCGTGTCTCTGTATCCCTGGGCTCCTCGAGACTCGAGGCCCCTGGAAGCGCAGACCCGCGGGCAGGCCCCCAGGCTGCGGGGTGAAGGGCCACCTGGGCCTCAATTTTGGATTTAAAAAGAATGAAGATAGCCCGAGGGGCGGGGCAAGGGCCTGTCGCTCCTAGCAACCCGCGGACCAGCTCAGCTCAGACACGTCAGCCAATGAGGAAGCAGAACTGGGAAGAGACCCGCCCCCCGGGGCTCCTTCCAATGACGGCTCGGGGGCGGGCCCGAGACACACTTCCGGCATGGGGCCGTCCCGGCGCTGAGCGGGTTTCCGGCGGGTCTGCGGAGGGCTCCGGCGGCCTTGCACCCGCGGCTCCGGGAAGGGCTCCCCCGCTGCTCCCCGCGCGGAGGCCGAGTGGAGTCGAGTCTGGAGACGCAGGCGTGAGGAGACTGCGCTTCGAAGGCTCGCCGCCCCTGCACGCACGCAGCGCCCCGGCGCTCCCCGGGCCTCGGAAAGCGGCGGGCCGTTATTAAGCGCCTGCTGTGTGCTGGGCACAACCGGGCCCTTAACCGGACGGAGCTGTGGGGAGCAAAGTGGGGGCGTGAGGGGGCGTGAGGGGCCGGAGGGGTCACAGGCCGGACGGAGCCGAGATCCGAGCCTGCCCAACGGGCGGGCTCCCCTCGGGCGCGGGGCTGAGCCCTGGAAGGGTCTCGTACCTGGAGCGGCTGAGCTCAGCTGTGCGGGGGGAGGACGGGCTGCTGCGTGAGGAATGGGGGGGGAGCTGGAGGGCGGGGGGTCAGGGGCCCCCGGGGGACTGGGGGGGCGGGGGGCGGGGGGGAACCTGGGGGCCCAGGGTGCTGAGGGCCCAGGTGGCTGGAGGTTGGGGGGTAAGGGGCCAGGGGGCTGGAGGCCAGGGGTCGGGGGTGCTGGTGGGGAGCAGGCTCAGATGCAGACCCCACCCCCCCTTGAGGCTTTGTCAGCGGGTAAGTGCCCATGAGGCTGGATTTTATCAGGATATAGAAATCAGTAAGGCCAAGGGACCTCTCGGTTGTGGGTACCCCAAGTTTCTGGAAGGAATTCTTTTTATTTATTAATTTATTTATTCATTCATTCATTCGTGAGAGAGGCAGAGACACAGGCAGAGGGAGAAGCAGGCTCCATGCAGGGAGCTGGAAGTGGGACTGGAACCCAGGACTCCGGGATCACGCCCTGGGCCGCAGACAGGCGCTCAACTGCCCAGCCACTCAGGGATCCCTGAAAGGACTTTTGAATCACAAGGGGAGGATGTCTGCGTTCCAGGTGGATATAAGAGGACTGAATAACTGGCTGCATTGGCCATCAAATGTTTTTTTTTTTAAAGATTTTATTTACTCATTCATGAGACACAGAGGGAGAGGCAGACTCCCTGCAGGGAGCCGGATGTGGGACTCCATCCCAGGACCCCAGATCATGCCCTGAGCCAAAGGCAGACACTCAACCAATGAGCCACCCAGGTGCCCTGGTCATTAAATAGATTTTTAAGAAAAACATCTGTAAGCTGACTGTGAATGTAGGTTATTATAACTGGGAGACCCAGACAGGAGCTCTGAAACTGAGAGCACCAGTATCATGAGGAATCAGCAGCAACTGGTGCCTGAGCTGGAGGAACCACACCAGGGAGTTGCATGTGAGGCCTTGGCAGTCCCTGACCTGCCTCTGGTGGGAACGGTGCATCTTCTGTCACCAACGAAGACTCTGTGCAGTGAGGCTGGGATAATTCTCCAGAATTTTTCATGCCTTGAGATGAAATTAGCTTCAAATTTCCTGTGTCCTTCTGTTCCCAATTCCTGCTCACCAAGCAATCCTCTGATGGTTTGTTTAATTTTCCAGAAAGGAGACTCTAAATAACAGATCTATCTTGTATATTAATAAACTGGCATATTACATCAGACCCCTGTGGGTTTGGAGCATGAGAGGTCAGTCCTGAATCCTTGCTAGGTGGCCCCGGAGCGGGAGGTTATCGATTCTGTGTGCACGGAGGGCAAGGAGGGCAAGGAGGGCTTTGGAAAGTGTTTCCTTTGGGCCCCAGAATCTGAATATACCTTTGTGAGCCTCTGGGTGAGTGTGGGAAGCACAGGGTAGGTGTTTGCTCCTCCCTCTCCGGACCTGGCTTGTCCCTGCAGCCTTGCCGTTGGAGAGACGTAGTAGTGTTCACTTTGGGCCCCCGGGTGGCCACAGCGCGTCCTCGCAGGCAGCACCGCCACCTGGTGGTCATCGGTGCCCGCGACACCTGGAAGCCGGCGGAGCGGCCGCTGAAGGACCGGAGACGGGCTGGGGGCGCTGGGGACCCAGGCTCCCGAGTCCTGCGCTGGGCGGGGGTCGGCAGCCCGCTTCCCAGCACGTCCGACTGGCCGCAGGGAGGCCGGGCCTCTTCCCTCCACGCGCCGCCCGGCCCGCGGTTCCTCCCGCAGGGCCCCTCCCTGGGTAATGGGGCGGCCCGGGGGTTGTTCAGATTTCCTTCTAGCTACAAGCGGGACACACTGTTGTCAGGAACAGTCTCACCTTCCTAGTCAACTTGGCATTCCAAAGCAAAATTAAACTAAACGCACTCAGGACAGAACTTCAAAGGTTGTTCATAAGTAGAGTTTATGTTGCCAAGTTAAATATTCTTGAATATGTGCCAGGCAGGGATAAATTTACAATGAAGCTAATAAAATTTAAAACATCAGGGCCCCTCAATTGCAGGTACCTTTCCCACCCTGAGGCCCTGGGAGGTGCCTTTTCATTGTGTTCACAGGGGCATATGTTTTCATAAAAATGTTTAAAAATAAGGTATTTCCAACTGCAATTGGTTAAGACTTCTGGCTCTTTCTGTCTAGCCTGCCCTCCACCACACTTGCCCTTGCCTTGGGAGGCATTGAAGTGGTCGCAGGCATTGAAGGGGCTTGACAAAGGGGAAGTCCAGGTAGGAGTACATCTGGTTTGGATTGCATGGAATACATGTGCATGGTCTGCAGTCACATCTGTGTCTCATTCGGCTGTTGTCCATCCTTTGTGGGACTGGCTTCCAGGAATACACACCCTACCACCTTCTCTGGCACCTGCTAGTGTTGTGATGTGAGGGCCCAGGGCCAAAAATGGTATTGCAGTCAGAGCCAGAAGCTAGTCTGGAAAATGCCTTCAGTTAGCAGACGCGAGCAGAGGGCAGGAAAATGTACAGCCTCTGTAGAAGAGAGTACCGCAACTGAAAAAAAATTAAACCTAGGGATCCCTGGGTGGCGCAGCGGTTTGGCGCCTGCCTTTGGCCCAGGGCGCAGTCCTGGAGACCCGGGATCGAATCCCACGTCGGGCTCCTGGTGCATGGAGCCTGCTTCTCTCTCTGCCTGTGTCTCTGCCTCTCTCTCTCTCTGTGTGTGACTATCATAAATAAATTTAAAAAATTAAAAAAAATTAAACCTAGAACATCCACATGATCCAGCAATTCCAGGAGTTAGAAGTAGGGTCACGAAGACATATTTGTACACCCATGTTCATAGCAGCATTGTTCACAGTGACCAAGAGGCAGAAGCGATCCAAGTGTCCATATTCACAAATGACGGTTGAGCAAAACATGGTCTAGCAGGTCAACAGAATATTAGTCCTGAAAAGGAAGGAAATTTTGACACGCGCTACAACGTATATGAAGCTTGAGGATGTGCTACGTGAAATAAGCCAATGACAAAAAGACAAATACCATATAATTCCACTCACCCGAAGTAGCTAGAGCAGTTGAATTCATAGAACCCGAAAGTAGAGTGTTGGTTGCCAGGGGCTGGAGGACAAGAGGGAATGGGGAGCTGGCGGTTAACAGATCTAGGGTTTCAGCTGGCAAGATGAACGAGTTCTGGGGCTGGATGGTGGTGACGGACCACGCACCTGAAAGTGGTTAGGATGGTAAATTGTATGTTCTGTGGATTTCATGACGACAACTTTTAAATAATTGTAAGCAGAGAAGTTAAAGTTAAAATTTAATACTGTAATCATGACTGCCTGTTCTTACACATTGGTCAATTCTACTTTGTTTCTCTTTTTTTATTTATTTTATTTTTAAAGGTTTTTATTTATCCATTCATGAGAGACAGGCAGAGGGAGAAGCAGGCGCCATGCAAGGAGCCCGATGTGGGACTCGACCACCCAGGCGTCCCTGTTTCTCTTTTTCAAAAGATTTTATTTATTTATTTATACGTGAGAGACCCAGAGAGAGGCAGAGACACAGGCAGAAGGAGAAGCAGGCTCCCTACGGGGAGCCTGATGCAAGATTTGATTCCAGGACCCCAGGATCACGGCCTGAGCCAAAGGCAGACTCTCAACTATGGAGCCATCCAGGTGCCCCAATTCTACTTTGTTTCTGACTTGAGGTCCGTGTTTTTGTGTCTACGTAAATTTAGAGATATTACATACGCCTGGCAAATAGGCCTTTGTCATGAAACGTTCCTCTTCATTTCTAGGAAAGTTTAAGTCGTGTGATATGAATGTCACGACGTGAGGTTTTTTGGTTCGTGTTTTCCTGGTGTATGGTTTTCTATCGTTTTACTTCCCATGTTTCTGTGTGCTTAGATTTTTGTCTATCTTTGGTAAACAGGATGTAGTCATGCTCTTCCTCCTGTCTGTCTTTGAACTGGAGTATTTCATTCTTTTATATTTAAAATGTAACACTGATATATTTGGGTGTAAATCTTTTATATTCCTATTTGTCCCACCTGTTCAGTCTTCCCCTCCCCTTTCAGTTCCTCTTTTATACTAATTATATTTTATTATTGTTTTCCCTCTAATAAACTGTCGTGTGTACTTTTATTGGTTACCCTAGAGATTTGAGTATGAATCTTTGTTCTTTATGAATTGGTACTTTTGGAGTCCCTGGGTGGCTCAGTGGTTGAGCATCTGCCTTTGGCTCAGGTCATGGTCCCGGGGTCTTGGGATCGAGTCCCACATCGAGCTCCCTGCTCAGCGGAGGGTCTGCTTCTCTTTCTCCCTCTGTTGCTCTTCCTGCTGTGCTCTCTCTCTCAAATAAATAAATAAACAAACAAACAAATAAAATATTTTTTAAATAATAAAAAAGTTAGTACTTTTACCATTTCCACAACAATGCAGACAGGAGCACCTGGGGTCCTAG